TCACCACCACTATGAATCAATCATAATTTTTAGAAATGCCTCCTGGGAAATAATCAGCCCTGGAAGGATTTCAAAACTATTGTATAACTGCAATCTGATGTTAGAACTAAGGTCATATAGTTATTATTGAGGGGCCTACATATTTGCCCTCCGTCTGCCTTTCCCCTCTATATCTCCTCTCTTTTTCCTCTCATATTGCCTGCTATCAATTTTTAGACCAAAAGGCATTTGCATTAGAAGCCTGTGAAAACTGCTCATTGTAAAGTATTATGTCCATAGTTTTTCAAATTTTTTTCTCTGCAGATTGCAGGCTTGCAATATTGATAATTATCTAGAGAGAAAACTGCATTGCACACAACCCTCCACACACGTGTCTGTCTGTCTGTCTGTCTATCTAATTTTATCTGTCTATATCTATAGATATCTAGATATCTTCAGCTTCACCAGCCTCAAAATATAAGAGTGACACAAACTGGGATAGTCATGTCGACTGAGATATCATCCAGATTGATGAGATTTGTGTCAAATGTTAAGGAGAATCTGATGATATGTGGGCTATTGGAACAAACCTGTTGAATGAGACAAGACAACCTAGAATTGACAGAATGCTATTACATTCTATTCCATTACATAAAGGAGATCTAATGAGGGGATAAAAAAAGCATATGTGAGAATTATGGAGGGACAGACAACCTTCAGCCACACTAACTGAAGAGAAACAACTAGTTATCCAATGTTTCAACATAGTGAAGAGAAAGCTGCTATCACAACTGGAGATGAACCAACTACAGATTACATCCCATACTCAAGACAAAGTGGAAGAATAACTAGATGTGCAGCCAAGACCTAAGGATGGGTCATTATCACCCTCTCCATTACAGAGCACAGTTGCTGATATGAGGCATAAAATCATGGATAAACTAGTTATAATCAACCCTCAAGACTAATTACCAAGGCTTAGTAGAGAAGTAACATCAGGTAATATGCTAGAAGATGCCAATAGAGCCCCCTCAACAATCTGTACTACTAGGATAACTCAGATCAATGATATACACTATGGCTGTTGTAATCATGGAGTTACTTGGCTTCAAGAACTACTGTTCATCAAGAACAGTAGTACATATCCCTCTTGGAAAAAAAGGTTGGAGGCTAAGATCAAACAAGTCATAGAAAGATTAATCAATTGCTGGAATTATAGAAAGGAGTGAAGAGATTAGGGATAAAACTTCATTCTGAAAAAATCCAAGGGCCTAACTCCATCTGAAGCCTTCGGGACTGCTAAACAAAGGCTCATGGCACTGGGTATCAGGCTAAGTACCTGGTACACTAGATACATTAGAGAAGCAGAGGCCAAGAAAATAAAAACCTTGTTCCACAAAGAGCCATCCAAGATATACGCCAAATTGTACTCCAAATTGTAGTACAATAACTTAGTAACAGTAGGGCCACCAACAACAGAAACTGAACAGTACTGGAAGGACATATGGCAGAAATAGAAAACATATAACACCAGTGCAAAATGGCTGCAAGATCTAAGAGCAGACCACAGCAATCTCCCAGAACAGGAACCAGTAGCAGACATCAAACAGCGGGTTAAGAACATGAAGAGCTGGACAACACCTAGCCCAGATATGATCTACAACTACTAGTTATAGAAAGTAACAGCAGTGCATGAACACCTAGCAGCACAGAACAACCATCTGCTAGCAGCAGGCTCCCACCCAGACTAGCTGATGCAAGGTAATAATAATAATAATAATAATAATAATAATAATAATAATAATAATAATAATAATAATAATAATAATAATAATAATAATAATAATTTTATTTCTATACCGCCCTTCTCCCGAAAGACTCAGGGCGGTGTACAGCCTATTAAAAGCACAAAGACAGACATCAATTAAAAATAATTAAAATTATTAAATAATTTTGGCTCAGATTTAAAACCCCAAAAATTTAAAACACCCAATTTAAAATCATTACATTGATAGCCCAGCCTGGCGGAACAGCAGGGTCTTGAGGGCACAACGAAATACATGGAGGTCGGAGATCATACGATTTCCCGGGGCAGTTCATTCCACAGGGCAGGGGCTCTGACAGAGAAGGCCCTCCCCCTGGGTGTCTCTAGCTGACATAACTTGGCCAATGGCACGCTGAGGAGACCCTCTCTGTGGGAGCGGACTGGCCGGTGAGAGGCTATTGGTGGCAGAAGTCGGTCTCAAAGTACCCTATGCCATGGAGCGCTTTAAAGGTGGTGACCAGCACCTTGAATCGCGCCCAGAAGACCACTGGGAGCCAGTGCAGCTAGCACAGGAGGGGTGTCATGTGGGCACAACGGGTTGTGCCCATAACCACCGCGCGGTCGCATTCTGGACCAGTTGGAGCTTCCGAGTGCTCTTCAAGGGGAGCCTCATATAGAGAGCATTACAGTAATCCAGTCGGGAGGTGACAGGGGTGTGAGTGACCGTGCGCAAGGCGTCCCACTCCAGAAAGGGCTTCAACTGGCAAATCAGGCGAACCTGATAAAAAGCCCCCCTGGCCACGGCTGTCATATGGTCTTCTAAAGACAGCCGTGCATCCAGGAGGACACCCAGATTGCGAGCCTCTCTGTGGGGGGCACAGACTCACCCCCAATAGTCAGCAATGGCACTAGCTGACTATATTGGGATGCCGGAAGCCACAGCCACTCGGTCTTGGTAGGACAATGCTGATTATGAAAGACTCCCATAAGAGAACAGCATCAGCCAACTACCAGCCAATAACCTGCCTCCTCATAATGGAGTTTTTAAAGCCTGATAGGTGGCTATCAGGCTTTATAGCCACCAAGCTACAGGGCCATCTTGGCCAGTATAGGAGCACAGCTCAGAAGGGCATTGGGGCCAACATTAGAAGTTCAATACACCAGTTGCTCATAAATAGAGCAGTCACCAAAAACTCACAGTCTAGACAGACCAATCAGAACACAACTTGGATTGACTACAGGAAAAGCCTATGATTCAATGCCACACATACGCTCTATGAATGCCTGGCATTATACCAAGTCAATAGTACACTAAAAACTTGCCTCAAGAACTCAATGTACTGTGGAAGACAACACTAGAAGTCAAATCAAGATAATTCACACAAGCGGCCATCACATTGTAGATGCACCATCATGGAAGATTTTCAAAAATAGACTGGATTTGATTGATCAAATAGAGTATTTGATTGAAATGACAGAAGGCTCCTGCCTCGAGTAGAAGACCTCTGAGGTCCATTCTAACCTTATAATCCTATGTTCTATATGGCATATCACACATGTGGAATATACCAAGATAATGCATTGTTTTCTACATATGCTTAATGCCCTTCACCAGATAATCACAAAGACTGGACATGGATACAAGTTCAAGAGTGGAACTACCATCAGCCACCTCCTCTATATGGATGACATCAAGTTGTATGCATAGAATGAACAAGACATTGATTTGCTGACCCACTTGACATGGACCTACAGCAAGGACATCAGGATGTCCTTCAACTAGTGAGGTGTAGTCAGATGGTAATCAATAGATGAAAAGTTAAGATTAATGGGGTGGAATTACAGTGGGTCACATAACAGACTTACAGACCAGTTACAAGAACTTTGAATCACACAGTTACATGGGAACCATGATGAGAAGGCAAAGAAGACAGCAACATCCAAGTAGACCAAATCAGACCAAAAGATCAGATCCTGAAGAGCCAGCTCAATGCAAAGAAGATCCATGCCATCAACATGCATACACTGCCAATGATCAGATACCCTGCTGATATAATAAGTTGGCCAAAGAAGGACATGGAAGCTCCCAATGTGAACACTCAGAAGTCCTCACAATGTACAGAGATTTCCACTTGAAGTCCAAGAGACTGTACAACAGATGGAAAGCAGATTGTTGGGATCTGGTGTCAAAGCCAGAGCTTCCATGTCTTTCTTTTCTTTTTTTCTTTTCTTTTTTTCTTTTTCTATTATGTTTTTGGTTTTAAAAATGTAAAATATTCAATAAAAATTTTTTTTTTTTAAAAAAAGAAAAGTTCAACCCATTTAACCATGTATTGATTCATCTGTATATTATAACCCAAATTCTTAGCCCACTTTATGAAGATTTCCCCAATATTTCCTAACCTGGCATATACATCCATAGAGTTCCTTCTCTTTCATAGTACCAAGGTGAAAATGTATTCAGAGTAATGACAGGAGCTATCACACATTGTGTCAATTGCTTTGTACTACATTCAAATTTCACAAGATGCACAATGCTGTACAGCTTAGCTTATCTAAATTTTGATGGTCTGTAACAAAGCATCTGCATGTGTCTGGAGAAGAGATGCATAAGAGGAGCCTGTCATTTGTACACTGTCATCGTTATGATATCACTGGATTGGGTGGGGTTGAAATGTTTAGACCTTTCCTCCATTTGGGCTTTAAAGGGTCTTTTCAGTAGGAAGGGCACCAATTTGGCCTTCAGTGCCTCCACCACCACCCCTTAAAACCTGAAAAAGGCTTCAAAGACTGCAAATGCCTAGCACAACCCTCTTCCAGAAACGGGAAACCCTTCGAGTTAGTGGGAATTGTGGAGTTCGGAAACAAGGAAATCTAACACAGGTCTGAAGGGGAACAAATTGGCAAGCCTGATGAGCCTTTCTATTCCACCACCGTCTGCCGCAAGTCCTTTTGACTCCCCTTGACATGTGCTTTGGTCTTCGACCTTCGTCTTCTTGCTTCCTCTCCCCGTCTAATTGTAATAGCGAAAAACTCCAGGTTGAGGATGGCCGTGGCGAAGCCGCAACGAAAAACTAGTTGGGAGCTCCCGCCTCTCGGACACTCCTCCGCCCCACAGAAGATCTTCGTGGCGGCCACGGTATATGTGTACAGTAGAGACAGACAAGAAACGGAAGAAGGGGAAGACGCGACAGCTGCGACGGCCGCGCTCCGACTTGCTTTTCCCCTCGGACAGCTTCCGCACGTACGCCCCACTCCGGTCCCAAATCAGGTGCAGGAAAGCTGGATGAAAATCCCGAGCGGGGATTGGCGCCACACTTCAGAGGAAGATTGGCTGCAAGACACCCTCCTGCTTAGCCTCGCCCTTGTGGCTTTCCGGGAAAAGCTTCCTTCGGGGATGCCGTTCTTCTCTCACGAGGAAGACTCGAAGCAGCTGGGGGAATGCCTCTGGCTCCGCGATGTGCAACCGCCGGGGACGGTAAGCTTTCCCTCCACGCGAGTGGTTCCTTGGCTTGCTCAGGAGGACAAGGCTCCGGCGCCCCCCACTTCAGACGCGGCAGACGGTGGGAGTAGGCACTGTCGGGAGGCACGCGAGCTCTTCTTGGCAGCCGAGGGGCAAAGCCAGTGGCTGCAGCCACCCCAAGAGACCCTGGAGGCGGGAGTCGCCTCACCTGACCCTGGAGAGAAAAAGCAAGATTTCAATCCGAAGGTAAATCAAGGGCGCATGAGTGCTTCTAACCAAACCACCGCGCCCACTTGAGTAGAGAAATTGGAGAAATGGAGCGCAACGGAGGTATTAAACCAATAAAGGAGAATATTTGTAGCTCAGAGTTTAAATGAGGGAGTCCTTGGTGCTCTCTGAGTTTGCTTGTTTTCTTGCAGACGTTTCATTATCCAAACTAGGTAACATCATCAGTGCTAATCACTGGTGTATTAAAAGCTTGAAAAGCACCGCGCTTAATAAGATCTGGTTTACCAGGTTTTACTAGCCCCCTTTTTAACATTAATCATATCATTTAATCATATTTTCACGTGATGGAAATGGAATAAAAACCAGCCTGTTATGCAGGTCATGGGGAGGGTTTCCTACCCCCCCTTCGTCAAAATGACCCTAGACTTTTGCCCCAAACCCAACTCTTAGAGCATCCCAAAAACTAGCAAAGGACATGGTTACCCTTTGTCTCTCAATCTTACTCTGTTTCGGAGAAATTATCTGTCTCCCAAGAAACATTTTTCTACCAGGAGTCCCAATTGAAGGATTATTTAGAACTTGAACTGCAAATACTTGCATGCTTACTTTCCCATTGGTTTTTTATTGTTAAGAAAACTGTATTAAATGTGAATAATTCTAATACAGAAAGGGGTAGCTATTGGCATATGATTACAGGATATAGCTTTTCTTTCTTTTTCTTCATTTTACATATGCAGGGAAAATAGTTCAAACTGATTAAATTTAAAGGGACAGTTATTTCCAGTATTTGAAAGTAGAAAGACCAGTGTCAGTTACAAACAATCCAGGTTCAGGATGGTTATTTATATATTCATTTTATAACAATGCTGTCCTATTCTTCAGACTAATATTTGGGCTTCCATTAAATGAAATTGCGTCTTGCTTCAAAGCGTTTTTTGTGTGAAAAAGAGACAAACATACATAGATCCTACAAAATAAATGAAAATAGGGACAGAAATCAGTTCAGTGGCAGAAACAGGGAGTGGCATTTAACTATTTCTTTGGACCAGGCTGAAATATTCTTGCTTAGGTTGGATGCAGTTCATCTTGAAAGTTGTATTCCTTGAAATGATGGTCTCCAGACTTTTATCAGGATGGCTATACATTTGACTAGATAGAATTTAATATTTCAGTAGCTTCTTACAGTCTGGAACAAAAGATAGTATAAGAATTTCTGAGTAGCTCACTGTAATATGCTGTAGCTTTTCCTTTTTGCAAGAAATATGGAGGCAGTTCTACTTGCTCTTCCTTGTCCAGCCTTCCCAAGCTTTCAGGTTCCCTGTTATCTCCTGGCAACTTGACAATGACAAACAACCTCTTCATTATGAGATTTGAAAATTTATCCTGTCTTGAAGGCTTGGAGATGAAGCAACTTACCTACTCCCTACTCCTTTATTTGTTAAGGCTAGTCTGCACACGTTCAGAAGCTGTTCTTCCTTCACTGCCATGTATTTGGGCTGCATTCAGATCTTGAAGAAATTCTTTAATTTACAATGTGCTTGTGATAAAGTGGCGTTTGTGGTGTGGCAACTTATTTGCCTGAAATGTATCAGTGATGCCAAAATGGTTGGGCGTAGCTTTGGATGTTACATTCAATTGTCCCTTGTGCTGAAACTTGCTGTGGAAGGAGAATGTATTCTACTACATCTTTTAATTCCTTTTCCCTGCATTCCTTTTGTTTTAGAGAAAACATGAATCCAGGTTTACCTATCTTACAATCAAATCATATATGAGTTTGCAGAAACAAATTCTACCACATTTAAGAAATTTATTTCCAATGGAAAGATACGATACGGAATAAATAATAATGAAATCATGTTTGGGATTGAGAGTGATATTTAGAAATAAGAACTTGTGTAGAATATGGACCACTTTTTAAATTGGGCCATGTTTTGCTATTCTACACTATAAACCAATAGATGCCAGAACACTGCATATCAAGGATATGTGAAATATCAAGGATTGCCTTTTCAAGTTAGGGGCACATTCTTACAGATGCTTATTTTTTCCAAGTGAAAAAGTAACATGGGAAATGGTCAGTTTCTCTGCTGTTGCATTTTATTTTTTTTCCCCAGAAGAAATGACCTCCTACCTTCCCTACTATTTTGAAATTGTATTTATCTATGGTCAATGACCAGTGAAGTAGCTGTAACAATAAAAACAAGACATACAAGAGGCCTCCATTAAAATGAACAATAAAATCTCTATATAGACCTGGCATTTAAAATTTACAAATATAAACAGTAAACAAAATGGAACAAAACAAATTAGATAAAAATAGAATTAAGATGAAAGAATGTGATATTGTTCCAGGATTAAGACATCTTAAATCTTCTTAGAGCAGTAGGTGCCGATAAGAACTTGGTGTCTGTTTATAATATCAGAATTATGGTAAGAGGGAAAAAAAAACCAATTAAAAACTTGATTTTTAATTGGTACAGATATATTGTGATGTAAGATCTAATTGAAGGAACAATATACTAAGGTTTGAGATTCATTCTGGCCAGAGAGACAATTTCTCTTGTTAAACAGGATTTTGTGAAATCTACTATTAAGGCTGCCTGGAGTAGAATATTAAAATGGGCTTTTAAAAAAGCTGCATAGTTTCTAAGATTGAACAGGTAGTATAAGTCTGAAAGATTTCTAGGAAGAAATCCACTGTTGTAATACTCAAGTCTATCTGATGGCAATTGTGTGTGTGTGTGAATCTAAGCTTTGGTTTTGTCTAGATCTACAGTAGGAAAGAGATAAAAAGGCTGCAATGTCAGTTTATTTCGATCTTGAGGCGAAGTTATCAAGAATAGTGATGCCAATGCACCATCAGAAGTTTGAGTCAACCAGAGTCAATAAGCACAAAAACTGGCCACTGTTATTTGCCCTTTTTATTTAGTTCTATTTAATTTCTTGATAAAGAATTCAGAATGTTTGCAGATCAGGACTATTATGTATTTAAATATAGCTACAAGATAATCATGTCAGGTTTTCATATTAACCATAATCCTGCAAAGAATTTAGTAGATATTTTTATAATATTAAAATATAACAAATATGAAGCTTTCCTGCACAAAAGGGCATGTTTTGTTTACTGAGATTTCCAAAAGTAATCTTTATAATATTCAGGCTGAGTTTAGTAGATTGAAAATAAAATGTATTTTCAGTGTAATTTCAGCAAACCATTAGTGCAAAATGGAGTGTCTGTCCTTATATCTCTATGCTGGTACCTGTTGTAACCTTTTTATAATTAAATGTATAGTAATGCCAATGTTGTACAAATATTTGACCATTCTACATGAGCTTTGAATTTTTTGTTTCTATTGAGTTGTCTTATAAACTTAAAACCATTTCCAGCAGTAATATAGATTTATTATTTATGTTCTGTTCTTAATTTATACTGAAATTATACATCTTGTATAATTCTTGGTAATTCTTACCAAAAAAATAGTCCATGCAGAAAGTCCCTAAGATATATTGCTTTTACATTGTACTGTCCCATCCTATTTAATGAAACATCTTCTTGACATATATTCTACTTCAAGTATAATACTTAATACTTAAAGGACAACCAATTTCTAAACTTTTCAAAAACTGTATATTATAGGAACTTTCCAAGAAATCCACAGATTTAGTATAAAAGTATTAATGTAGATTTTCAGTTATAAAGATTTTATGTAAATTATACACTACTTTTGGTTTCAAATGTTTTTTTACCTGATGTAATGGTATTTGAACAAGTATTTACTTGGCTCGGTTTGCTTCTATAGTAAGCTGTAAAGCAAGTTTCTCCACCTTAATCTACAGCAATCTTTCAAGTGGTGCAAGAGATGAGTAATTTTTAAAGAGATGAGTAATTTTTCAATCTAATTAATACCAACTTTTCATGAGAATATAAACTGGAGTGTTGAAAAAAGGATATATCTACATTGCTTGAGACATAGTTTAACATTCTGTCTTACAGATTCTTATCAAACACCATACATAAAAGCAATTTAATTATATTTGCTGATTAATTAATTTTAAATACTGCTGCCCTTCCCCTTTCAATTCCAAGCTAAACATGTTAAAAACTCATACATAATAAAAATGCATAAAAAAGCCATAGGAAATCCCAACAATATAAAAAATAATAGATTTTTCCTGCAAAATGGAATCCAATTTGGTCACTTTGTTCATTTGAAGCTCTGTAACTGCATTCCATGATTTGGTAGCTGCAGCTAAAGGAACTCTGATACATATCCCGAATAGACATGGCAAAGGCAAATCAGAACTTCTATATACCTAGAAAAAAACTTTCTCTTATTGTGGCCCAAGTGATGATTCTTTAGGGCTTTAAAAGCCCACAATAGCTGTAGGGTATCACACCATGGATATCTCTTGTAGGAGAAAGACCATATTTATTGAATCACTATAGTCATCATAGACAAGGAAGCCATTCCATCATCTTAACAGATGATCGGGCTATGCTTTTCCTTAATATTTTCCTTAACTATGGAGTCAACAAATCTAATTAGAAGTGTTAAGTTCTGATCTAGGTATGTGAAAATCTCTCTAGCAAATGTAAGGCTTTTTAAAATTTAGATTATTCTTCATAAATATCTGAGATGTCTAGACCATTTTGTAGAAACAAAATTGTTAAATAAAGCATACCCTTTTAAATTTTCTAACTTAAATGTTGGGGATGGTCAGTAGAACTAATAAACTAATAGATTGCATGATATACCTTTAATTTTCAAATATTAGAGATCATCAGATTTTCAATGCTCAAAATTACCTTTAATAATTTTGTTTTATTCCATTTATAGGTTTTAGATTTAAAAGGAAAGCAGGAATATTTGGAATACTGCTATTTGTTACCGAAGGAAAATAAGTACTCAGAAACTCAAGAGGAAGAAGAACAAGAAGAGTGTGATAAGAGTGAACAAGCTGATTGGAAGGAAAGGGAGAATCTCACTTCTATTTCCTTGGTGAGAATAAGGAACAAACCTATTCTTCCTTATTGCAATTTACCATGGAAGGATTTATATTCCTTGCAGATAGCTGGTCATCTGTATTCTTTGGATACACCTGGATAACTGATCTCTAGACATTTGTCCCTATTCTATTGCTTTAGATTACATCCTGCTCTTCTGAAAGTGATCTGTATATTTATTTAATAAAACAACCAGTTTGTCCAGTGTCTTAGTATAGATTATTATAAAATAAGATTATATATTAAATTAAACTAATAAATGTGATAGTATATTTTCTAGGTTGCTAATGAGATTATTGAATTCAATTATATATACCCTTTTAAGCTAATTGTTTTCAAGGTAGTACCTAACAGAATAAAAGGTAATATATAGTCAGGATGAAAAGGTAACACAAACAACAAAAGCAATAAAGCATTAGCAATCATTAGTTAACATGCTCATTGCTAGCGAATTTAAGAAATTTACACATTTGCAAGATTTATTTAATATTTCAATGGACAAGTTTACAAGTCCCAGTCACTACGTTATTTCATGCTAAGCCAAAAATTAGAAACCTATGGCTTTATATAGTATGTGAGTCAAGATGGTTTCTTTGCTATTCTCCTTTCAGCTTTAAGTAATCTTATTCTTTGAAGATATACCAATTTTGGTGTGTATCTTGTTTTGCAGAAACACAGTACTATTGACTCTTTTTACTCCTTAGGTTGTTAGTTGTGAAGTTGTATCCAACCCATCGTGACCCCATGGACGTTCCTCCAGGACTTCCTGTCCTCTACCATCCTCTGGAGTCCAATTAAGTTCATGCATACTGCTTCAGTGACTCCATCCAGCCACCTCATCTCCTTCTTTTGTCCTCAATCTTTCCGAGCATTAGGCTCTTCTCCAGTGAGTCCTTCCTTCTCATTAGGTGGCCGAAGTATTTGAGTTTCATCTTCAGGATCTGGCCTTCTAAAGAGCAGAGTTCATCTCTAGGACTGAACCGTTTGATCGCCTTGCAGTCCAAGGGACTCTCAGAACTCTACTCTTTAGGTTACTTTCCAGTTACTATCACTCTCTGAAATTACTTTGGAACAAGTGTGAAAATTAGGGCCTAATGTTATGAAGTATCTCAGAAACAATTCTGTAATTTATTTAAAATATATATGCTAGTTGAAAGCAGCAGTTTCCAAACCTACAATTTAGTTTGAGGAAAATGTTTTGCCTCGCAATTCTTATTATACTAGATCAAACTGTCTAGCTGCTTCTCAGATAGTCCAAGAGAATTTTGTATTAGAAGTAGCTGCTACTATTATCCTATTCATATGGGATATCATTCTAAAGGCAGAATATGAATTTATGTCCCAAATATGGAGGTCTTTATTAATTAAATGTTATGGCCATCTAATTGATATTCATATAGTCAAAGCTTTGGTTATCCCAATAGTAATGTATGGCTGAGTTGGATCATAAAGACTGGACACCTAAGAATTGTTTTCGAATTGTGTTGGTGAAGACTCGAGAATCCTTGGACTACAAGAAATCAATCAATCCTAAAAGAAATCAACCTTGACTGTTCTTTGGAAAGACAAATACCACAAATATTTTGGCCAATAAATAAGTCATTGGAAAAGACCCTGATGCTGGGAAAGATTGAAGGCAAAAGGAGACAGGGCTGGCAGAGAATGAAATGGTTAGTATCATCAACACAATGAACATGAATTTGGACAAACTCGGGAGACAGTGGAAGAAAGAGGGTTCTGGTGTGCTATGGTCCAAGGGAGTCATGAAGTGTTGAATGACTTAGTGACTTAATATAACTGACACTCAGATCTGGGTTAGGGTAACATTCAACAACCATTAAAAACAAATTAAAAGCAAACCCAAATAAACAGCCACTGTACTAAATAGGCTTACCCATTACCTAGATCCAAAGTTCAGTGAAGAGCCTGCTCCAGTAAGGCTAGGACCACCTGAATGTCAAGGAGTGGCTATTCCATAGATAGGAGATGCTATAAGAGAAAGGGCACTCTTTGGACTCATTAGATGGCAATGCTTGATTCAGGGGATCTGGAGCATACCCATCCCACTTCCTTAAGTGAGACATAATTGGAGATGGACAATCCAACAAATGCAACCCTGCTTGATGAGGGGTTTCAGAAGTGAAAATTTGCATCCTGAATTGCACCTGTTAAGTCACGGTCAACCCATCTATTTGCCAATGTTTTCAACCAGAGGAATGTAGACATGGTGACACATACTGCTTTAAATCCTTTAGTCAGAATTCATGACAACCAACTTTCTCACTTCGTTCTAGTATTTTTTAATTATAAATTGACCAAATAGCAGTTTTTGCTAAAGAAGCCAGAGTTGAAGAGTTGGTATACTGAATACTGGTCCTAATGCAGTCCCCAATGCTGAGCAATTTCAGCAGGACAGGTACAAAGATGACATGTCTTTTTCATCAAAAAATAAAATAAAATAAAATGCTGTTTTGTGCAATTTTGACTGTTGGTCTTCATTGCATTAATTGCAGTCCTATAGCAAAGATGTGGCAATGGATTGTGGACTCCTTTGGAAATAATTGTAATTGTCTGCTCTAGAACACCTTTGAATCTATGTTCAGCCTGGTAATATTTTCAAATGACTTATATGATTTACCTTTAACAAACTTTTTTTGCACTCTTTCAGGAACAAGCAAGCAGCAGAGATGTGAATTTGACAAACTTTCATCAGAGCCCTATAGATTTAGCCCAAGCTATTAGCCATGATGTGAGTCTTCACGATGCCACAGTGATGGGATCAGACCACACTAATGTAACAGATGTAGAGACGACTTTAGAGAGACTGGAGATTTTACCCGGCTTAAATATATCTCCAACAAATGAGACCAACATGTTAGAATTATTTGCAAATGATCATTGCTGCACAAGTCTTACGCACCAAGATTTCTTTTTCAGCCTGAATGAAAATGGATATGAGAAAATACATTTCACACCATTAGCCATAGAAGGAAATTTTGACTTTGCAGAAACTTGTCATTTTGAAGAACGAGATTCAGATTCTGGACTTTCTTTAGACTTAAATTACAGTAATGCATCTCTTGTATTTTCTTGTAACAAGGATGCCAACTTTGGCACATCAGATGACTCAGGAGCTGTAGGAAATAGTTGCCTACAATATTGCCATACAGAATATCAAAGCAATTATGACCATGGAACAAAATCACTAGTAGGTATATTCCATGATCATACATACAACCGGGATTTACAACAGCTGACATTCCCAGAATCAGAGGATTATTTCAGATGGTCAGAAGAATCCAAAAGAACTGAAAATGAAAGTGATATAAATCTAAATGATGAATACCGGGCAAAAGCTCTGAGTATTCCTTTCTCTGTTAATGATATAGTGACCTTGCCTGTAGAGTCTTTTAATAGCATGTTATCAAACTACTACCTAACAGATAACCAACTGTCACTCATTCGTGATATAAGACGAAGAGGAAAAAATAAAGTTGCTGCTCAAAACTGCCGTAAACGTAAATTAGACGCAATTATGAACCTGAAAGATGAAGTGTATCATCTTCAGATGCAGATGGAAAGGCTTGAGAAACAGAAGACACAATATAAAAGGTCAATTCGTAATATAAAACAAAAAGTGAATGATCTTTGCTGGAACTTTTTCAATAAATTGAGAGATGACCAAGGAACAATTAATACAAGCCAATGTTCCCTTCAGTATTGTGGAAATAGTACTATATTAATTTTACCTAAAAAAGAAATCAACCAGGAGCCCCCAAACTGAAACAATAAGACCAACATTTTAAATGTTTTAATAATGGTGTTTAAGGATTGCATTTGCAAGAAGCCAGAAGAAAACAAACGTGAATTGTATCCCTTGTCTAATTTTACTATTTTAAAGAATTTCAACCTAAGTATTATTTTTATATTTGTTCTGCATAATTTATTCAGCTTGCGCATGGATTCTGATGTTAATGTGCTAACTATATGACCACGGAAAATTCTATCATATGCAATTTTATTAGTTTTTAAAAGTAGAAAGCATCACTGCTTTTCACCTACATTGGGACAATGGATGTTCCTACTCTGTTTCCCCCAATAAGGCATCCCCTGATAAGCCCAATTGGGCTTTTGAGCGCATGGCAATAAGGCCAAGCTCTTATTTCAGGGTTCAAAAAATATGAGACACGGTCTTATTTTCGAGGAAACATGGTAAGAGTAACCATGCAGGCCTTCATTAGCTATTGGCAGGTGGGACTGAGGTATATGGGCTAGCCTCTCACTCTTTTTGACATTTGCTTTATGTGCCATGTTTCACTTAGTTATTAAGCCTCACTTTGCAAGGGTTTGTTATAGACAACTTTTGAAATTGAGGGTGTATTATTCATTTCCAGGATGTAGATAGTCCTCAACTTACAATTTGTAGTTACAGCAGCACTATGACCAATCCTCATATAATCCTCATAATATCCCATGGTTGTTATAAAAATTTGGCCACTTAACAATTTATGGTTAGTGATCCATGGTCATGTAATTGCCATTTGCAACCTTCCATACTCCCTCTAGCTACTTCTTCATCCATCTGTACTATGCAGCACCATAATGGCCCCCAGTAATCATGTCCTTGCTAAACACACAAATAGTCCTCAGGTTATGATGCTTTATGATTGTATCACTGTGACAGAACTTTCAATCCCAATTGCTGCTGAAGCCCAAATACTACATGTGCTACTTATTTGGAAACGTTATCATCACAAAATGCACACCCTATAAATATGTCTATTTCCATACGTTAGCAACATGTATTTTACATTGAGAAAGTTCCTGAAGTGTTAACGTTACAATTCTACCCATATGTTCCATGAGCACTGACTTATACGCACTGAAATGCAAGAGCTTGTATTTATATATTGATTAAGCTACAAGAAATAGCACAGAATTACTTTTTACAGAAAATTGAGCTTCTATATTTTATACAAATTTAGTTGTCATTACGTTTGGGGGGGGGGGCGCTTTCCTTCTTAATTCCATTGTAATTCTGTATAGTACTGTTGAATGCATAACCCAGTGAACCAATACATATTTACCTAGGCCAGTGATGGCGAACCTTTTTGGCAAAGTGCCCAAACTGGAACATACTCTTCTGGGAGTACACGCCAGAAGCCCCAGAAAAGCATGTACGCACCAACCACCTGGTCTTCTGGTTTCCAGCATGCCTACTGGTCTTTGTGTGCACTGGAGCCCTGGAAATCCAAAGACCAGGTGGCCAGCACGCCGGCCACCTGGTCTTTGGGTTTCCAGGGCTCCAGCGGGCGCGCTAGAAACCAGAAGATCAGGTGGCGATGGCATGCGTGCCAAGAGAGAGGGCTGTGTGCCATCTCTGGCATGCATGCTATAGGCTCGCCATCACAGACCTAGGCTGTACTAGTTTAGCTATTTTACACAAATCTACCTTTGGTAAAAACAGTTGACTTTGTAAGCATAGTTTTCAATCTGCTTATGATTCCCGTATTATTGTTTGGGAAAAATATTTGATATATGTATATATAAAACACAAAGCTATGATCTTAACTGAATTCACACATTTGTAGTAATTGTGGTAGTTAAGTCATGCTGGTTGTTAAGCAAATCATGTGAATGTGCCCTATTTTAAAAGACTTGTGGCAGTTGCTAAACATCTAATCTTGTCAATAACTACCTGTACCAGCCTAGTACTTAATGCAGCCATTTATTTCAATGTTTTTCATAAAATATGCCTTAAAAGGAATGAAGTTTCATAATGGGCATAGTCGATTATTCTATCATTACCTTCAAAGACCAAATTAACTGTATTCCACTAATTTTAATTTCCTATTCTAAGAATCCCATACTTTAAAATGTACTGAAAAAATTGCAAAATCTTCTACAAAGCTAACTGCTTTAAATTTTAACTTTAGTTCTTAAATAGTAGCAGTAGACATAATTATTGGCTAAATACACTCTTAATACTGGTATTTCTATGCATTACACTCGATGTTTTTGCAGTTGCTATTGCATATATTGTATTATGTACTCAAACATAAGGGTACATACAAATAAAATTACCAGCCGTTTTGCCCAACTCATTTTTGTAACTAGATTCTTACATAGTTTCTTACCAATTTTCACTGAACAAGCACCTTTTCAGAATATTGCTTTCCCTAGCAGTATAGGCAATGTTTTTCTTTGATGCTAAAAAAGTAACATCTGCCTTAAAATTCTAAGGGACAATATGTCCCATTCTGTAGGTTGCTGTGGAATTTTCCAGTTATATTTGTCCTTCATAGAATTATTTCTGCAGCTGATTCTTCATTCTGCTGTTTAGGTTATACTATGCTACAGTCACTGGGCATAAGATATTATCCTGAAAACTAGCAGTTTTTCCTCTTAGTGCCATTTTGCCCTATTTTTCATGTCTCATAGCAGTATATTAGTACCCATGATGATGCCGACAAGTATGTAATTTGGTACAGCTCACACTGCATTGAATAACTGTTTTTTATCATTTGGGATGTGCATAAAATGGTAATATGGTATCAGACTAGGAATATTTTTAAACAAAAGTTTATTATAACACTTATAAAAATCAAATATTTACATTAGTCTTGATTTCCTGTCAGTCTGAATTCTAGAAAAAGTATACCTTTCATTTTGTAAAGCTTTGACTAAATTACAATAGGCTGCATCTGAAATCATCAACTATAAAGGGTTTAATAAAAATCAGTAAAACCAACTATTTTGTGAAGAGAAAAGAAATATCTTATTTCTTGAAGTTTCTGTGGTTGACCACTTCTTCATTAGTTACCTGCAGCATTGGCACCTTCCTGCCAAAGAAAAAGAAAGTATCTGAAGAAGTTTATCAGAAGCCTCTTTGTATCACAGGAAAAAATTCAGCAAATGGCTAGAAAACAGATGAGGCAAGGCCAGGCTTTTAAGTGTGCGAGTTGTACAAAGCAACATAGAATTTTTAAAGGGTAATATAAGAGTATTTAAAACTGTGAAGATTCTGGAATTAAAGTCTTAATTTATATTAAACAGAATATCCCTCTAAGTAAAAAAAAAAAATTCCATGTCCACCATATTGAAGGTAATTACAGCATTCAATAACAGAATAATTTTACATTGTGCAGGATTAGAATATACGCAATGAAAACACTTTTTGTAAGCTATATAGTGTTGACAAGACCAGTGAGGGGAAGAATTCTGTATGTAAACTCTGCATAAACTTCACTTTCCCACATAAAATTCAAACCCAAGTTCTATAATACAAAATACGTTGTATCGAAGAACAGATATCCAACTGTTCTATTCTGAAGAGCCATAGTTTTCAATTTTAGGTTTTAATATATAAGTATGGGTAAAACAAGATATTGTACCATTTCAAAAAGCTGCAACATACCATTTTAACTACCCATAGCAGGGATGGAACCCTTGCAAATCATTAATGGACACTTGGCTGGTTCATTTGCTCAGCAGGTCTATTGCTTGTCCATGGTGCATAAAGCTAGATTCCAGTAGGGAAAAGATAGGTTAAGCAGCTGAAGTTAAAAATAAATCAAAATATAATAGCAAAAAATGAAACCAACCAACAAATGAAAAACAGAATAAATACCCAAACCCCCAAATCAAAACAAGAATTGTTAAATTTTCCAGTGCACAATTGTTAACTTGGTTCATTGCTATGTTAAACTAGATATTATAACCACTATACTGAAACAGTACACTGTCATATAGTATTAGTTCTTGTTTTTGGAATATTAAAAAAGGAAAAGTAAATAAGATCTTACCTAAAGTGGTTTAACTGAAGCTTAGAACTATTTTGCTCTAGAACCCTCAGCTCTCGTTGGCATCCTTAAAACTACTGAAGTTAAAGCTTTGGAGAAGTACAGCACAGCTTTTAAGACTGGCTGAACTTAATTGCCGTTCTCAAGAGTTCTTTTGCACTAGACCTGTGTCCCTGGAACAGTACCTCGCTGGGGATATTTCCTTTACTTGCCATTGAAGAAGCAGCATCTAAAAGATCTAAAAAGGTGTTTCTCTTTGCAGAGATATCCCTTAAGTTATCTAGTTATTAATCTGGTAATTTACAGAAAACATTATCTAACCAACATATTACATGTACAACAAACAAATTTATAGTATTTGTGGGACCTTCTACTACCCACTCCTTGCCTTAATTTACAATATATTTTAAATAAATCTATAATTACACAACATTTCCTTTAGAATTATTTTATTAAATCATAAATGTACAACAGCTTCTTAACTCTACACACGTACTTAAAATTTTTTTCAAAGGAAAACGTTATGTCTTATTACACCATGATCCTGGCTAATAGCTTTTCAAAACTTTAGAGAAATTTTTTTAAAAAAGGTTTCACATGTCACCTGAAACTTACAAATTTAACATTATCAAAGGAATGCTTCTACACTCTTACAAAGACCACTAAAAAGAAACAACAATGAAAAAGCTAAGAAACTGTCTCAAAGGCATTTTTACAATCCTTCCTCCACAGTAAGGTATGATATTAAATAATCCAATCCATTCACAAAATGGCTCTCTGCATCTGCTCTGGTGTCTTCTGCCATATCACTGCATATTTATGCATGACTGAGATAAGTGTTTCCTTAACAAAGTTATTTCGAAAACCTGAAGCTGTTCTGTTACCTCTGGGCTCATCCTCTCCTATTTATACAGTGAAGCCTGTTTCAACAGAAGTAAAGAGTAAAAAAATAGGTTATGAAGTTATCCCAATTTTCTTTTTAAAGGAAAGATAATATGACCCTAAAAAGCTTTTACCCCTGCAGCTAAAACTAAGAAAACCTGCTATTTTATATTAAATGTACACTCACCCATGAAAAGCTTACAGAAGTTCAATAACGACTCCTCCCTCCATAACCCCCACTTCCACCACTTCCTCCAGGACCATAGTTTCCTGTGTTAGTAAAAACAGAAAACAATTAGTAACAGAGAACTTTCCCCTAAACAATCTCTTTATTTTGCCAAATCTCTAATAGTAATTGCCAGATTGCTACTTGATGAAAAGCAAGCATTCTATTTATTACCAAATCTAGTTATCATTCAATAAAACTTGTAAAATACTTTCATTTTAAAAGCATTTTAATACTTATGTCAAATTATAACATTCCCTTTTCAAACAGCACACGAGTCCAGATATATGAATTTAATTCTACGAATATATTATATTCCTAGAACTAAATGCTTTAAATGAGCATATTATCTCTTATAATTTTAATTAACCAAGGAAAAATTTAAAAATAACTGATAAAGAATATTCAGGACTGCCCAATTCAACTTATTTTCTACTGAATAAAGTTGTAATTTATCCTAGGGGTACGAAATATACATAGGATGATGGCTGCTTAAAATCTTGGAAACAACCTTATTTCAGAAGATAGAGTGAACCTATTGGCTTACATTAACAAAAAGAGCAGCTTAGAAAAATAAATCTACCTCACTTGTTCTGTTTTTGTTAGTAAAATCAACTAAGTGATAAGAAATCAGAAAATACTTTTTGTTCAATGTTACCTCCACCATATGGTCCTCCCATGTTCCTACTTCCACCAAAATTTCCACTTTTCATTGGACCATAGTTTGAAGGCTGTTGGTTATAATTTCCAAAGTCATTGTAATTCCCACCTCCATAATTGCCTGCATAAAAAAGTATTTTGTTCATTTCAAATATAATTTTACTATGAATATAAGATGTGTAAACAAACATGTAAGATACCCGTTTTTAACAAGAAAATGAAGACAACTGAGGTTTGGCATTGTTCTTAACATTTCTATATGACCTTGCATTATACCACCAGTGTTTGTTATATTTTGTATCATGCTTCCCCGAAAATAAGACCCACCCTGAAAAAAAAAACTGGGGGGATGGGCACGAGAGGCAGCAAGCACGTGCAAATACCAACAAGAGGGTGGAAAGAGGCGGGGGATGGGGAAAGAGAAGGCAGGCGATCCGGACATCACGGAGGCTTGCACAGTGACACCAGCAGCAAGCAGAGGCATGGAGGAGACAGGCGATCCTGACACCCCACACAGGTGCTTACTTGATGTGGCCACAGGTAAGGCAGAGACACGGTGCGATGGAATGGGCGTTGCATTGGGATCGCTTCTGCCCGGCTCTGCTATGTCTAGAGGAAGACAAAGCTTTGTCTGCTTGCAAAGGGGACACTTTCAAATGGAGTTAATTGCTTTCAGTCTCTTTCTCCATTGAGGCGAAAGGTATTTGGTCACCTATGGGGTGCGATTTGCTCCGTTCCCAAGTGCCCCATAAGCGACCAAACACTTTTCAGCCAACAGAAACTCAAAGCTTCATGTGCTTGCAAAGCGGAGGGAGTTTGAAACGGAGCGATTAGCTGTGTTTCAAAGCATCCCCTTTGCAAGCAGACAAAGCTTCATCTCCCTCTGGGTGAAAAGTGTTTGGGCAGCTACCATCATCCCTGCCCTCTCCATCCCATTGTCTGTGGCCTCAATTGGGGCCTAGCTCTTGGCACGCCCCATCGCGGCTGAGAAGTGTTCCAGCAGTAGCTGGGCCAGCAGGCAGGGTACGTGGAGGCCGGGGCATGCCGAGAGCTTGGCCCATTGCAGCCATGGGCAAGCAGAGTGGGTCAGAGAGGGGGTAGCTACACTCCCATCAGCCTCAGTGCTTGCTGTCTCCTGCACCTAAAAAAGACCTTCCTGAAAATAAGCCAGAATGCTTACTTTCAAGCCCAAAACAAAATAAGACCAGGACTTATTTTCGGAGAAAACACAGTACTATTAGTAGAGTATATTTTACATATTTTAATATTTTTGCTATATGCTAACTTTGTTCTATTATTTGAGTTTTACATAAATATAAAATGTAATTATAAAAATAATTTATGGACATTATTGACTATTAACTCTGGTAATGTTTTGTGAAAAGTCATGCCAAGTTGTTTTTTGAAATTTATGTATGATCAGTACATATTTCTTAACTAGTTTAGGAAACTATTTTCATTTCAAATGTTTAAATAATCATTACCTCCTCCATAGTTGTCATATCCACCTCCGTAGCCCCCACCCTGGTTGCCGTACCCAGGTCCTCCTCCACCATATCCACCTCTTCCTCCTCCATAACCAGGACTGCCTCCAAAATTGCCACCTGTAATAATGTAAAACTACATAAGTACACTTGTAATATAACTATCTACATAAAGTGAAATCATTTTAAGATAGCAATTACATGATCATAATATGGGGATCTCATTAACTATAATGAGACAATTTGGAACTTTTTTTGGAACTTTTCAAATAAACAAAGAGGACTATTTTCTCTGGCGATAGATTTATCGCTGTGGGCAGTAATTTCTTTTTAGTCCTGTTTTCAATTAGAAATAATTTATCACAAAATAACTTCTGATCAAGAAGTTTGGCTGCAAGCCTAGCTTTGAATTGGTGCTCTTTCCCCCCATTTGAATTTTACTCTCAGTCAAAACTATTGTTATTTAAAGTATTTTTACATCCATATCCCACTGGTTGGTTAAAGACTTCTGTCTTTTGTTATCAGAAATATTTACATCAATATTGTAATACATTTTTTCATATATTAATTGAAATAAGTTTATGTAGGCAGTGTCTATGCCTTGGTTGAACAATGCATTAATTATTACTTGCTGAAATACTTATATAATAATATAATATATATATATATATATAATATAATATGATAATACTTATAACATACTTTACATTAATTTGGGTACTTTCAAATGAGCCTTGACTTCTAGCATCTGGACCAGTCCATGCAATTCTCTTGGCAACATTCTAAGTTGGTTACAGTTTGCTTTCTTCCGAGGGTTGACTATGAATGACTGGCCCAAAGTCATTTGGCTGGATGCCTAGATCAGGACTATAATTAATAGTCTTCTGGTTCCTAGCACGGCGCCACAACTAAGCCAAACTAGCCCTCAATCAGTATTTACATATGTATAAAACTGAACAGAACTTAGAATTATCAAATTATATTAGACAATATGTGCATGATCTACAATAGATTTTAGACAAATAATGACTAACATTATGAATATTCAACACTTAAATAGAAAAACAGACATAAACCAGATTGGAGGTCCCAATACTTACATGTTAATTAATTTTTAGATGCAAACAAAACATCCACTAAATAATTTGTATTAATATAAATGATGCTGCTATTTCATTATTATTTTTTAAAAATCATTTCAATATCTCAAAAATAGAAGTATTCAGTAACTAACCTCCTGGTCCCCCTCCATATCCATTGTATCCATCACCAAATCCACGACCACCTCCATAGCCATCTGTGGAAGAAACCATGAGTCAAATTCTTATAAAACAACATTCAAAGTATGCTTGGCTGCCAGGATTTACTTTTAGCTGTTAATTTTATGAAGTCCTGGATCAAAAATATGCAGTCGAAGTTATCAGAAAGTATTTATTGTATTAGTGATTTTCTGACTTACCAGATCCACCTCTGAAGTTACTTCCTGGTCCTGGACCAAAGTTTCCACCACCTCCACGTGAATCTCCAAAGCCAAAATTACCTGAAAATATATTTTTTAAAATTACCTTATATTATTTTTTAAAATAACTAATTTAAATATAATGCAGTTCAAACATACCTCCCCTTCCACTCCTTGAGCTTTGGACTTCTTGCATTTCTTGCCTTGATAAAGCCTTTCTTACTTCTGCATTATGTCCATTGATTGTGTGGTATTTCTGTACTGTTAAAATATAAAATTTTAGAGAAACAATAAAAATATCAACTTAAATTTCAGAGTAGTGACCAAGCTTATTAGCAAAACAGAATTTAATTTTAATCAGAAGATGTAATTCAATTGAATCACTAGTTACAACATCACGTTTGAAGAGATTTTTTTGAAAGAATTGCGTATGAAGGATGAGTGAATTTCATTTTCATACATCTATCCCGTGATGGAGAAGGTATGACACGCATGCGAGAGGTAGCATGCAGCACCCTCTGTGGGCACGTGAGTCGTCGCCCAGTTAAGCTCTGCCGCACATGCGTGCGCACCTCCTGCCAACCAGTCTTCAGGTCTCTGCTGTGCATGCGCAGGAGGCAGAGATCTGGAAAAGGTTAGCCACCACTGATCTATCTCCTATATGTTAATTTTAAAAATATTCAGTTCTAACTTTAGTAATTCTCATAAGATAGCAGGCAGATTTGCTGCAATAACTGAATTTCTTAGTATACTCTAGCATGCAGTCAATATTTCCTCCTAAGTTTCAGAGCTTTACACATCAATTTGGATAGCTTCAGCAATCTTTCAAAGTACAGAAATTCCTCTGCTAGCAATAATTTGTCTAATAACCATTCAAGATTACAACAGCAATGAAAAGTGACATAACTTGTTTTCACTTATATCACTTATATATATTCACTTATGTCAAACTCAATTTCACTGAGGGCCGCATCAGCATTATGGTTGCCCTCGAAGAGCCAGTTGCATGACAACTCATAGTTGCCAGGTGGGCATGGCCAGATGGTCACAGCTGGATTGTTGTGACTAAGTGGGCGTGGCTAGCTTGACACCCTTCCCTGGGTGCAGCTGACTCAGGACACCTGGGTTGAGACCGAACAAGTCACACTGGCTCCACATGGGGACAATTCGGTGCCCCACAAGCCTCCCCAAACTGCTGGCAGCTAAGTGCGTATACACACTGCATTCTAAGTTTGGGGATTTTTATCCAGAGGAATAAAAATCCAAGCCCAAGAAGTATGCAAATTCAGATGTGGATAAAAGTCTCCAAACTTGGAATGGTGTGCATGGTATGTGTGTGCTTGCATGTGCACAGCATGCCAAAGGAGATGTTCTTCTCCCAATCCCAGATATCATTGGCATTCCCTGTCCAACGCCCTCTCCCAGCAAAGCAAGATGTGGAGGGTGCTGCTGTATGTGGAAGCGGGGAGAAGAAAAACTTTGCAGGAAGCCATTTCCTCCAAATTCAACTTCTGCCTTGACAGATCTCTGGAGAATAAGAGGTGGTGGCAAAGGAACAGTGCTTCCTAACCCGGCACAAGGGAGGCTGGCCCCTCTTGAAAGGGAGTCGCCATTTCCAATTGTTATGGAAAGGATCCTGGCTTACTGGATCCCCTCACACAACTCCCCCCTACTCCATCCTGATCTCCGGAGATCTGTCAAGGCAGAAGTTGGATTTGGAGGACAGCCTTGCTGTCCCTCAGACAGTGCGGAGGACTCCAGTCTGGCCCTCGAGCTCCCGAGCCATCAGAATCCCAGTCCAGCCCAGCCCCGCTTTCACGAGCACTTACCTCGTCCACAAGTGGCTGCTGCTGCGCTCGCTCTTTGAACAGGTTGCTTATGTTGGGTGTGGGAGGGCAAACTGCATGGGTCAGAGGAAAGCCCACTCCCTCTCCATGTGATGAGACCCAGCTTTGTAAGGAAAGCATCCTCAGTGGTAGGATGGAAGACCACCAAGAAGGGGGGGGGGGTGCGGTGGCAAAGGGATGAAGACTTCCCTCAGACCCTCTGTCCTACTCATTCCAATTTCCCTCCCTTCTTCTCATTCCCATCTCTCTCCTTCCTTTCTTCCTGCCCAGGACGGGATGAGCGAAGGGGTGAAGGGTTGACAATGCTGCTGGTGGCCGTGGCTTTCTAATGTGGTGGGCGGGACCAATCCTGGTGAAAGGGAAGCATTTGCGGGTTGTGCCGTCATTCCCTTTCACTGGGGATGCTAGACACCGCACACTCAATGCCTCCTGTGCACATATTTTCAGGGTGGCCCTGGGGGACAGATCTAACCACATCCTTCAGTTTGACATGTCTGACATATATCATTGCAGTATCCCCACCAACATTTGAATGCTTGGCAACTGGCATGTACAGGTAGACCTTGATTTACAACTGCAATCGAGTTCAAAATTTCTGTTGCTAAGCAAGATTGTGATTCAGAGAGTTTTGACCCATTTTATGACTTTTGTGAGTTGTTAAATGAATCAATTTAGTCGTTAAGTTAATAAGAGTATCTAGCTTTCCCACTGATTTTGTTTGATCACAAAAGGTGATCACATGACCCAGGTCACTCCAACATGAGCCAGTTGCCAAGCATCCACATTTTTATCATATGACCATGGGGATGCTCCAGCAATTGTTAAGTGTGAAACATGGTTACAGCATTTTTTCTAGTACCATTGTTACTTTGAACAGTCACTAAACAAATGGCTCTAAGTTGAGGACTACCTGTATTTATCATAGTTACACTGTCCCAGGATTATATGTTCATCATTTGTAACCTTTCCAGGAGACATGCGAAGTCAATGGGGAAAGCCAGATTTGTTTAATAGTCAAATGGTTCACTTAATGACTGCAGTGATTCACTTGTAGCGGTGTCAAAAGAAGTCATAAAATGGGGCAAAACTCACTTAACAAATACTTTCCTTAGCTACAAAATTTTGGGGTTCAATTATGGTCGTAGGTCGAGAACTACCTGAATATCCAGAATGCCTGAAATATCTTAATATTGGCCTAAAATCACAAGCCAGTATTCTACACTTCTTTCCTGCTCTGAAGCAGGAATTTAATTTTTAGAATCACTGTCCAGCAAAGCTTACTGTTTTTGTAAAGAAATTACTAAGTCTGGTATCATCCCATCAATTCTCCAAATACTAAAGTATAGCCACTTTATTGAAACACTCTTAAAGTGTTCATTACTTGCCTCTGATTGTTACCTAAGTTTGCAAGTAGCAAGGTAACAAACTTGCTTTCAGACTAACTAAAAATAACCAGTAACTGTAACACAAACAACTTTAGTATTAATAAAATCCAATCTGGCAATGGCTACAATACACACACACAACAAACAATTTAACTGCAATCTTAAGGTCTCACTCACATACCTATTTATTTCTGGATACTTACACACAATTTTATCCACAGGATCATGGTCATCAAAAGTTACAAATCCAAAGCCTCTCTTTTTGCCAGATTGTCTGTCTGTAATTATTTCAATTGTATCAATTTTTCCATATTCTGAAAAGTAGTCTCTGAGGTGATGTTCTTCAGTGTCTTCTTTAATTCCACCAACAAATAATTTTTTTACAGTAACATGAGCTCCAGGCTTCCCAGATTCCTTGAAAAAATAGTATATTGAAACTTAAAAAAACCTGACTATGCTAAGGGCGGACATCATCTTTCTCCCTGGGGACAATTATAGTGTTATAAATTAAGGGGTTCTGGTATTGGGCAAAGGAGATAAATTTAAAACTGATTTATTCCATGGACTTGTGCAAATCAGGAGTTTCATTGGTAAAGATCTGAAAAACATTTTTCATTCCAATAATATAGAATGTTTCAATTTCAAAGCAGGACAGTGAGAGTTTTCATTATATTTGAAAAATGCACACCTAAAATAATTCTGGTCATGAATTGCCCTACACTGCTCTAAAATACCTCTAAATTTCTTCCTATTACAATGAAGTTGTACCTTTGTCACCATTACTGTTTTAACACTGATTATTTTTTATTATTTTATTGAATATTGTATCCTTTTAAGTTATTTTTTACCTATTGGATGTGATCATATGCAGATCCCTAACTATTATTCTCTTATGAAGTATATTATCTACAGTTTGGAATCTAGCAACGTCTGAATTTATTATGTTTTAAAACCACTGCCTCTATAAAAGGGTAGAAAAGCATTTTGTAATGCTGCTCCACACCTCAAAACTTACCTCTCTGGCTACAGCCCTTTTTGGTTCAACTACTCTTCCATCAATTGAATGAGGCCTGGCAGCCATTGCTGCATCAACTTCAGCCATAGATGAAAATGTTACAAAACCAAATCCTCGTGAACGTTTGCTTGCAGGATCTCTCATTACCTACAAGATGACAAATTTAAAACATCTCCTTGAATGATTGAAGTATTATTGCCAGGCATTTCCAACATTTATACTATTTATCATTGATAAAACTTTCCACAATTTTTAAAAATGAAAAATAATTGATTCGCCTTCAATAATGAGGACCCAGTTGTGGGGGCAATAAGCTGACTTTGTATAAATATACAAAAGAATGAAGGCTATTGCTTAGCGCATTGTAAGCAGCCCTGAGTCTCTGGAGAAGGGCGGCATATAAATCAAATTAAAAATAATAATAATATTCTTGAAATAAAAGTATTTTAAATGGAAAACCCAACAATGAGTTTTCAAACCTTTGATTGTTTGAAATAGGTATTTTGTGTACACTTGCAATTCATTAATAATTGCACTTTAAACTTCATGCTCAATACATTTACTTGGAAACTTATATTAAAGCCTATATTTAACTAAAGAAGTTATAGGGGCAAAAACATCACAGAGTTACATTAATACGCAACAGTAAATTTAATAACTATGCTAAAGGCCTACACGAATGTTGGGTATAAGCATAGTCCTCAAGAGAAATTCAATGCCTTTTTGTGGCTCAAAATGTCACATAATATTCTTAAACAGTGGTCACCAAGCGGTGATCCGCAGAAAAATTATTTGCATTTTTATATTGCACTAAATACTATTTATCTTTTTTTTTAAAGTATATTAGTGGTCCGCAGGATTTAAAATTATGAATTTAGTGGTTCCTGAGGTCCAAAAGGTTGGTGACCCCTGTTCTTAATAACAAAGAATTTTATACTTGAGACCCAGCTTGTTTCACTTGGAAATTGGGTTGTAGCCCTGCCTTAGGTAGGAAAAAACGACTAGGACAGTGGTGTCAAACTTGATTTCATTGAGGGCCGCATGAGGGTTATGTTTGATCTTAGGGGGTGGGGTGGACGTAGCTGGGGTGGGTGTTGTCTGCTCAACATCACTCATGTCAGGGGCGCCTGTGGTGCCTTGAGTTTGACCCTCCTCTACTATCACAGCCTTGACATATCTACCGTATTAAGACGCTCCGAACTATAAGATGCATCTAGCTTTTGGGGAGGATCCCCACCGCCTGGAACAGGGCATGCAGAGGTAGCGACGATCCCCGCCTCCCCGCAGCCTGGAACAGCTGATAGGCGGTATTCCAGGAGGCAGATCCAACCGCCAATCAGCTACTCATGCTAAATCAGTCTGTGCTGAAGCTGACCAGGCTATTTGCTTCAAGGAGGCAAATTGCTGGGAAGCAGAGGCCAAAGAGTGGGGACCGACGGGGCTTCAGTAACATTTGCTGTGTAAGACGCTCAGACATTTCTACCCACTTTTTGGGGGGGGGGGGGAATGCGTCTTATACACCGAAAAATACGGTATACAATTTGCACCTTAAGAACTTAACACTTTATTCTAAATTAAAATGTTGCACCATCAGTAACTCAATATTATTTTGATTAACTAGTCACATCTCTTCAGAACTATAGAACTAAATCTGGGACATACTGTGTAGCATTGTGTGTGCTTTAACATTAGCATGTAATACCAAAATATTAAGTTATTTGTAATTTAGTTTAATGTAGACAGTTACTGCAAAGAAATCATGATTTGTAATCCACTATATGGGATCACAATACTAAAATAAATACCAGATATTATTTTGACTTACCATCCTCTTCATTTTCAAAACGTGGCAGAAATACAAATCGTTATTCTATTAACCACAAATAAACAAAACTTACCACACAATCTGTTAATTTTCCCCATTGCTCATAGTAGTTTCTCAAACTTTCTTCTGTTGTTTCGAAGCTTAAGCCGCCAATGAATAGTTTGCGGAACTGCTCCTTTTCCCTCTGATTAAAACAAAAAAATTTTTTTTACAATACCTTTTACAATATTGGCTTTTTAAAAAAATATTGAGCAATATATAGGATAGTCTACATCTTGGGTGTTTGGTAAAGATAACTTAGAAGCATATATGTGTGTGTATGTATGTACACACACCATTTACATTTTATTAAAGATTTACAGTAAAATAAATTTCAAAAAATTGTAATTCCTACATATTTATATTTAATATTAATATTGGTTTTCCTATACACTTTTGCTGTATTTTAAATGCAAAAGTTAATAGCCTGAAAGAACTGAAACTATTTTTACAATATAGAATTGAGATAATTTATAGAATAAAATATCTGGTATCACTTAACTGAAATAAAAATGAATTGCAAGGGCCATCATTATTAACCTACCAAATCACCTTCCCAAAACATGTAACTAATTTGAAACAGAAACTTTGTTTCCTTTGTTTAAATTTTAATTTTATTTATTCACACAAATACATTAATTCAAATGTCTTGAGGTTTGTAAAGATTTGATGGAGAAATGTTTGTCTTTATTGTGATGGATACTTCAACAGAAATTTGTGAGTAGGCCCTTCTGACTAAAGGAAGTTTTAAAATAACAATGTAGCCAACAGTGATAAGTGAATGATAAGTAATCAAATAAAAGACAATATAATTTTACTGTTTTAAAACAGATATTCTATGCAGGCCTTTTGAGCCATACTATTTTTACACATTCTGTCATTAATCCTAACTGAACAGGGATTCAAAGGAACTTGGTCTGTTGCACAAAACTATCCATTATTCTCTAATCAAACAGGAAGTCATACTAGAAACTTTTGAATGGATATTTTGTCCTGTACATATCTAACATTTCAAAAATAAGAAACTTCCCTATGTCAAAGTTAGTATATACTATTCTTAAATCAAAAGGGTTGTCATAGCAACCTTTCCAACAAATATAGAAAAAAACTGAAAAAAGTTCATGTTTTTAATAAACATTGTTGGTTAAAATTCAGAAATCTGGTAGTACTTTTTCATAGTGTTACCATAGAGTAACACTCCCATTCAATGTTCTTCCATTGGTTATCCTTGTTAGTCCATTTGTAACCTATGAAAACCTGATCCAAAAAAATTGTAGTCTCATTCAAAATTTTTCATATCTAATATAGCCTAATTTAATCTAATGTTTAACTGAACCATAAGTAACTTTCTAGACTAAAACATGGATGTGTAAATTTATATGAAACTCCCTGCATAAGCAGACATTAAAATATATTATGGTAAATTTGCAGATTTATCCGGCTACAGCCAGTGTGATTCTGAAACGGTAAGAAACCATTTGAAAAAATAGGCTTCACCTCGGAAGCGGTTAACATTGAGAGCAGGCGAGTCTCCGCCTCCCAACCGAAGATGGCTCCGCCATGTGACGGTTCCGACAACCCGAGCTCCTCAGCGGACTATAAGAGAAAATGGCGCCGACGAACACCGAGGGTGGGAGGAGACTCGTTCCCAGGAGAACGAGTACTTTATTCCTTTCTGCGCATGCGTTCTGCCCTCCCTTTGTAGTACTGTATTAAAGAGGTAGCAAAGTTGCGCTTTCGCTCTAGACGTGTCCATTTAGGACTGCTAAGTCCGTGGCCCTCCTGTTATCGTCGGTAGAGCGAAATATTACTGAACTACCTCTCGACCGGATTTAAGGACATTTAAATCGCCATAACTGTCCCCTCCTCTTTCCCAACGGCCGCCGGCCCTTCCAGAACCTTCCTCTCTATTAACGTCTTCCTTGTGAGACACCAAGTCCCGCCAATTGCGCCACCAAGTGTTCCAACGAACAAGTTATGCGTCATCTCTAGATCCTACGCTAATGGCGTATTGTGCCGCATTTTAGTATCCTAACAGGCACCAACGCGCCATCCAGATAGCCGTTTCCGCAACAACCCTAAGAACTTTTATTTCCACATTGTATCAGCTACACATTTCGCGCAATGCCGTTTCAGAATACGACTCCATCACGTATGGCGGCCTTGACTCCTGCGTATTTAAATATTCAGACCCCTATCCTATTTTAGGGTTATTATAACCACGTGAAACATTGCCGTGTATAGAATTTTGAGTAAATACTTGTAATTATTCGTCAGACTGATAGTATGCATTGGAAACGATGTAATTAAGCAGATATAAATTATTCCAGTGTATTGTTTGTTTGTAGTTATATACTATAAAAATGTGTACTGTAATTAAATATAGTATCAAAGCTGCATTAATAAAAATCGCCTCGTCATCAAGAGTTTTCTTAGTCTACGGATGTAACCGGCTGCTTTCGAGCATGGCCGAAAAATCAGAGAAAAGCAATTATTATTCATCATCTGGACCCTTTTCGGTAATTTCCGGAAAACCCAAAAACAACAAAAGCAGATCGGCAATTTTCCCCCCGTAAATTGCCTCAGAAGGTCGGCGAACAATAATCGCGCCAAAATGTTACGGATAATGAAGACTCCATTTTTCCCTTTAACCTACCATCTTATTTGCTAGATCGATCGTAAATGTATAAATGACTACTCTTTTTTTGAAATCTAAATATACTTGGGAAAAATTCCGCCTGTGCATTGTTTCTGTATTTTGCATTTTATTGTATCTGTCGGCCAGATAAGCGCCTGAGGGAAACACTAAAGCAAACGTGCAACAGGCCGCCATTAAACGCTCATGGCTTCGCCTGCCTCCCTCCACAATCTTCCGCGCCGCTTTTAAAAGCGTTGAGAATCGAATTTAGCCCCCCCCCTCCTTTGCCCCTCGCCCGCCATTTTCTCTTCCTCCTGGCTTTGGAAGACTTACCCGCCCACTGCCCGCGAAAGAACCCGTTAAGGACACAATGAATGTGGGGGGGGGGGAAGTCGGCCATTACTAAACCACGCCGTCCGTTACCTCACTCACCCAATCGCTCTCCCGATCTCCGCGAGGCATTTCGGCCGGCGATTAATAAAAGGAAGTAAAGGAACACGCGAATATTTTTCTCCTCTGGCCGTTGCAGCTGTTGAAGCGACCCTACCGGCTCGCCTCTTTCCGACGGTCTCCTCGGTTGGGCGCGGCGTACGCAACGGCGGCGGCAAGAAGAGTGCGCGGATCGGCCAACGACTCTGCTGGCGACGCAACGAAGGGCGGGAACGAAAGTGGGCGGCGTTTGCTGCGCTGGCCCCGCCCTCTAACCAGGTTGCCGCAGCACTAGCAGCCGCTCCGGGCGGGGCTGCCTCTGCCGCCCTCCCACCCCCTTTTCCCCGCCCCCTCATATGTCGCTGCTGCCTCAGAGCGCGCCAGGAGCCAGGAGACTACAGGGGGATCGGAGTCGTTGGCCACCATTGAAGTCCGTATCTTTTTCTCCCTCCTTTTCCTTCTCCGCTCCTTCAGGTCTTCCCTAATTCGGTGACAAATAGTAACGTAGGAGAGAACCGGTGGGAGATCTCCGTGTGTGTGTGTGTGTGTGTGTGCGTCTCGTGCCGAGCTTACATTTTATGTAACTCTCGAGAAACGACCAGGCGTGGCCTCGTTTTGCTCTCCTCCATTTTCTCTCTCGCGGCTCCCTCTCCCGGGCGGATTGACAAGCTTGAAAAAGAGGCGCGGGGTTTCCCAGTGCGGCCTTTCGACTTCTTGGCGGGCCTTCCGCCTGCTCGGCTCTCCCTTACTAGCCGAGACGGGAGCGACCGAGCTCCGAGATTGCAAGCCGTGTGTATTTTATTTATTTATTTTTACCGCTGAAGTGCAAACACCTCTGAACCCAATAAGGCTCCATGACTAGCGAGCGCAGACCTTTTCCCTCCTCCGTTTTCCTGCGTGTCAGCAACGTCCAGGCCGCGGGCAAAGCAGGATATTTGGAGGCGTGGACTTTGATTTTTTAAAAAAGGACTAACCGCCGCCGAGGCTTTTAAGAATTCAAATGGATGCGGTTGTGCTTGGCGGACGTGGGGCGATGCATGAGCTTATCGAAGTGGGGTAATGCCGGGGAGTCTCCCTGAAGGGATCCGATGTGGTTTGGTGTTTTTCACCTTCCCTGAGCCAACCTTCTGCGCTCCTGGCTGCTTATGGGATCCTCATCCGGGATAATTCTTTCCCACCGGCCGTCGCTTGCGTGCCTCGTGTTTAAGGGCGCCCTGTACAGTTTTCCTTTACGGCAGGCGTTTCTTAATCACGCGTCCATTTATTCTAAAATGGAAAACGCGATGCAGAATCTCAGTGATCTAAAACGGCTGTGAAATAGCCTCTGGGAAGATGCCAGGTTTTGTGCCTTGTTTTTTTTTTCTTTGCTGTATCTCATGATTTATGTTCTTTATAGGTTTGCAAAGAAATCATTCCGAATTTTAAATTTTAGAGAAGTTCGAGGACAACCGAGTTGCAGACGTCCAATGGCTTATATATTAAGTTAAAGTTGTATTGTGATTACCATATTTTATGATGCATAGTTGTATCTACCTTAGGCAATTATAATTCTGAAATCTTTAAATTCAGTGTTCTACAATATCTTGCTCTACAAAATATATTTTGTTATAGCACATTGTCTTAAGGTTTTGAAAATAAGGTTTTCCTATAAAATTGTATTCAGTATTAGATTAGCATGTATGATATACAAAGTCCTGAAAAGCCAAGGTAGGTCTTGGGAAACTCCAAATAATGCCTAGGATAATGGAAACACAATTTCAGCCTTTGTTAATGATATGTGTATATGTAAGTAATCTGAATAGAAAAAGAACCATATTTGTATTGAGATGCCTTCCTTTATATAATGCAACATTCCTTTTGTCGTGCATTTTTCTAGTAAAAGTTCAGCAAGTCTTCAATAAAAATGGCCACCAATAAATCTACATTGGTAAGTTCTTGACCATCTAAAATATGTAAGGATTTTACCATCATATTTCTTCAGATTTATTGTTGGCATCTCTACGCAAAAGATACATCCACATCTCTCCCCCACAGCATAACTAAAAATAAGGCATCTCAAAAATATGCATATTCTGGCTCCAACAACTTGCTATGTTGGTTCATTTCTGCATGAGAAAGTGTATAATCCATGTTTGTCAGGAAATAGAATTTCAGTAATGTGGTTATATATTTAATTTGTTTCTCTTATACTGAAAAACGATAATTGTGTAAATCTTAGGTGAAATCTCTTCAAGTTCTGTTGATGACTTAGTGGAAAGTCCATTTCTTTGCAAGAGAACAGAAGGGGTTTGCCCCTGCTGCTCCCTTGGATATTTTTTGACCTCCCAGTTTGGCCAATAGCTCAGGAAGCTTCCAACTCAAGTATTAAGGCCTGATTCTGCTTAGTTTCTAAGCCAAGAGTTTGTTGCTTGCTGAGTTGTGTAAGTTATTATACAGGCTGTAAAACTAAAGGAAAAGATGCAAAACTAACTAAGTTAATGTAAAACATATTAGTTTAGAAAATTTGTATTTCAGATATTTTTGAGGAGATATTGGGGGATGGAAGGAAGGAATCGGGTCCTTATAGTTTCAAAATTACATTATCTGGCACAGTTTCTGGGACACTGAATCTCCTTTTCTATTTCCTTTTGTAAGAATTAGATCATGGGAAGATGATATAGAATAGAATAGAATTTTATTGGCCAAGTGTGATTGGACACACAAGGAATTTGTCTTGGTGCATATGCTCTCAGTGTACATAAAAGAAACGTTCGTCAAGAATCATAAGGTACAACACTTAATGATAGTTATAGGGTACAAATAAGCAATCAAATCATATTAGGAAACTGTCAATATAAATCCTAAGGATACCAGCAACAAGATTACAGTCATAAGTGGGAGGAGATGGGTGATAGAAATGATGACAAAATTAATAGTAATGCAGATTTAGTAAATAATTTTACAGTGTTGAAAGAATTATTTGTTTAGCAGAGTAATGGAACAGTATATTAGAACAGTGAGCATCACTGATGATGAGAATCAATGGGGAAGGTCTATTAACTGATAAAGGAGAATATTTGTAGCTCAGGGTTGAAATGAGGGATCTTTGGTGCTCTTTGAGCTTGGCTGTTTTCTTGTAGACATTTCATTACATAAATTAGGTAACATCACTGCTAGTGAAGGAGTGGGGTTTGCTTTCAATCTAAATTTTAGTGGCTTGCTCTTGTCCATGTGGAGTCTTAGAGGTTCTTTAGCTGGGCTGTTTACTATTCGCTTGTTTAGCAGTTCCTTGATTGGGGTATTGTTTATTTGATTGTTGGTCTGATGTTAATCATGTAGTAAATCAGTGTTCCTGATTGCTGGTGGGGAGGTGTTTTCATTTGTTCCCTTTTTGGCTTGTTGATTGTCTTTTTTGCATAGAAATTCCTTAGCATTTTTGAACTTGGCTTGGTTTAGGATGGTCAAAGTTAAAATTGTGGCTTTGATGACCTATCTTTTTCAAAAAGTGCATGACACTCGACCCAATACAGCACAATAAACACAAGCCTACAAAAAGTAACAGTGTCATGCATCAAGAATATCTCAGAAACCACCAACAAACTACCGCAACTCCATGGAATCAGCATAGCACTCAAGCCCTTCAAAACATCCCAACTAAACCAAAAGACCCAGTAGAAGAAAAAACAAGAGTCAACTATAACCTAGTTGACTCTTGACTGTAACAGCCACTACAGAGGCAAACAAGCAGAAAATTGGCATCTATGAACACTAACTAGCACTCGGAAGACAAAACTCCTTAATTTCACAACATGGACAGACTTAACCATAGGTTCAACAGGAAAATTGACCATTCTAGACCATTCAAATTCAAAAACACTAGGGAATTTCTAGAAGCCTGGCATTCTGACAATAAACACATAAACAGTATCTATACTAGCAAAAGAGACAATCAACAAGCCAAAAAGAGAACAAAAAGACCAAAATGTCTTCCCACCAGCAATCAGCACCCAGATGAGCATGGATTAACTCCCAAGATTAACAATAGACCATTAATCAAGTAAACATTACCCTAATCAAGAAACTGCCAAACAAGCCAATAGTAAAGAGCCTCTAAGACCCACTCCCTCACCAACATAGACAGGGCAAGCCTGCCTATGTCCACTAGCCTGTCCACTAAACTGAGAGCAAACTATACTTTTTACTATCGCTGATTATGTTACCTAGTCTGTGTAATGAAACGTCTGTAAGAAAACAGCCAAGCTCAAATAGCAGCATCCAACTATTAATTGGTCCTTGAAATTTGTTCCAGTATGAATTTCCTTTGATTTGAAGGGCTTTGGTCCCAGAAAAATGTGAATAGGACTGCAGTTGTCTTGGACAAGTCCCCATTAAAAACAGTGAAACTTATTTCTTTATGGATTGGTATGGTTTATTGGGTGGGAGAGCTTGGACTAACAAGCTGAAGCAAGGTCCATTGTAGTCACTCCTTGACCAGCAAGTCTAGTCATTTCAGAATCCATATTGCTAGAATACAGGAATCCATATCACTAGAATATAGTATATCCTTATTAGTGTCTATTGTAAAATATTGCTATTTGTAGAAATAAGTTGCTTCAGATGTAGAAAAATGGAATATTTATTTTTTAAGGTGCACTTTGCATCTACTTTCTTAAAAAGACATGTGCTTTGGTTAATAATTTTGAAACACTTGAACTAGTATTTGTAAAAGTGCTGATTACATTACAGAAAAATATATTGATTCTGGTGCCAGTAAGTATTTTCCACAAATCCTGTGATGTACATCTCAGATTTTTATATGTAGCTTAGAAAATGGGGTGATTTTATTAGTAATCCTGTATATTTTTTAGTACATCAGCTAAGTGAAAATAGGATTGTACTTTTGTATTAAGAATAAAAACCTATTCTTTGATGCATTATATTAGTACAAAAAATACAGCACTAATGTTGCCTCTAAATCTTTGCCAAGGATGCAAATTCTGTATGTCAGTTTGACATACTAGTTTATCTTAGTCTAGAAAAGATAGCACTAATGTTGCCTCTAAATCTTTGCCAAGAGTGCAAATACTGAATGTCAGTTTGACATACTAGTTTAACTTGATAGATTTAAGTGAATATAGAATTAAGCATAACTTTATACATAAAAATGAATTCTAAAATATGGCTGGAAATAACTGGTTTTGGAGTGTGAATGTAGTTGTGTATAAATAGAGGAATTGGGAAAATATAGTAAAATGCCATTTGTGTGTATTTATGTTTTAACTTGTGAATTTTTTTGTGGTATATTCCCAAGATTTTAAGTAACATGGATAAAGAATATATTCCAATTTTCTCAAAATTGTCATCCATCAAAGCAACAATCACCTTTCTTCATTTATATATTTTTTAGAAATGTTGGTTACTCATTTATACATAGTTTTGTTAGTATTAGTGGGTGGTGTACTTAGCATTAGCCTTTATTAAAGTTGCTCAGAATCTAAAGAAACTATCATAATGATTTCAAAACATTTTGATACTCTTCATTTTCAAAAGATGTCATAAGAACACAGCTCTAAAGAAAAAGTTTTGGCCCTGTATTGAAATTCATGAAATTTGAAATTGGGAGACTTTAGCATTGTTTCTCTTAATCTGTTTTTTCTCATATACTTGTGAGGCTCAATATGGTCCCTATACTGTCACCGTATTTTGAACTATCAATTATGGTTTGCATCCAAAATTAGGACCAGGCTCTGCATTTGTTTCTAATAGAACTGCAACTACTTCTAACATTGCAATAATAAACTGATTTTAAGACAATGTATAGACAAATTACAGACAATAACATATTGCTGAATTGTGTTTATTGAAATTGGAATGCTTTGAGGATGATGTGGATGTATTAACTTGCTATCTAATAATAATTGGCTGCTAAGTGCTTTTCTATGGAATTTAATTTAAAGCCATTTTCAACCTTTTAAACTTCTTGAGCTTGATTGAATAAGTTCATTAGTGCTAACATTGCTGATAAAAAATGTTTTTTGACAGTCAAGTTTCAAATTCTGTTAAGATCTCTTGAATGTATATCTTTAGTATCTAATGAAAGTTGAAATGATGCATGTATGTAATCATAAGATAACTGTTTCATACCTAGCAACTGAAAGCTTCAAAATTGCTTTTAACTGCTGATGATTGCTATTAACGTTGCAATCTATGGATGCTAACTCTGGTAGCTTCTCTTTTCTTTCTAGCATTTATCCCCAAATTTGTTTTGTTTGCCTTTTGTTTACAAGGTTTATTTTTAAAACAATAGTTAAAATGGAATAGCAAACAACAATTCTTAATAAAATATTTAAGATGCCAGAATAAGAAATGGATAAGAAATGCACAGACCTCAAAAGCTCTTGTTTAAAATAATTCTAGGTCTTGCTGAAAAGAGTATGAAAGTTTCTGCTTGGTTGAAATAAAGGTGCAGCATGGGTATTAAATGTGTGTGTGCAAATGATTTTGTTTTATAGCATAAAATGGGAAAGAAACAGAATGGCAAAGGTAAAAAAGTTGAAGAAGCAGAACCTGAAGAATTTGTTGTGGAAAAAGTCCTGGACCGACGTGTAGTTAACGGCAAGGTGGAGTACTTCTTAAAGTGGAAGGGATTTACTGAGTAAGGAACTTCATACTATTTTTTTTCTAAAATATTTTCAATATCAGTGTTAAATTGAAGAATTCTACAAAGATATGGTGTGAAAAGATTGCTACCACCAATTCCGGTACATGAAAAGTCGCTCATATATCAGTACTCTGAAGTTCTGGATGCATGGAAAATAGGCAGGGTATTTTAATGTAAAACTGGCTTCCCTGCTTAATATTGGTAGAATTGTGGTAAATGCTGCATTTTCCACTGGATTGTGCTTTAGTTGTATAGCCTATGAATAATCTGTCTGCTGGAAGTATTCAGTGTACAATGCAATCCTAAACATGTTTGCTAAGAAGTCAGCATCATTTTGTTCAAAGGATTTATTCTCTAGTGTGTACTGTTAAAGCTTTAATATTTCTTCCAGGAATACTCTTCAGCCATAGGGAAGAAAGACAACTTATGAGTTCATACTATCAAAGTATAATGCTCATTTATGGCACATAAAACTACTCAAATCAGCAGAAGAGTGTTTAAAAGTTGACAGTGAGAATTGACTAACTTTTTCCTTCTGTTGATTGTAAATGCTTTATAATATTGGGTTGCAATATACTGTACCATTTCAGGAAAAGGAAACTAGTGGTAAATACTCTAGAATTTATTTTTCTGCTTACTAATTTTTAAAAATTCTCTCAGATTGTTATTTTGAGTGTATACTACAGGCCACATGTCATATTACATGACATTGCATTGTAGAAGAGCAATGTTTCGGTAACCAGATGGCCTCAATTTATATTTTTGAATGAATTGAAGAAATACTGTTAAAGCTATGTTATATGTTATTTTTCCTGGATTTCTAGGTAAAAAGAAAATTCACATTTTTTTTTCCAGAAAATGGTGTATGTGTGTCAATCTGGAAGATTGCCATTGTCAAGTTTTAGCAATAATAGTTGACTGCAAAATCACTGGCTGGGAACTGCATGTGACATTCTATAATATAGTTAATACATTTTGACTGAAATAATTACCCAGTATAGTTTCAACTTGGTTTAGCTACTCTAGGAACCAATCTACAGAAATGGGTTTTGAAAACAAATAGAATTGTTTTAGGAATTAAGCAGATAATCTGGATTTTCATGTGTAACTGTAACTTGCGGACCTTCAGATTTAGCTCTGATAACAGATTTTTACTTTTTGTTCTTACCAAATTGTTTTTTTAGTGCTGATAACACATGGGAGCCTGAAGAAAATTTGGATTGTCCAGAGTTAATAGAAGCTTTTCTGAATTCTCAGAAAGCTGGTAAAGAAAAAACAGAAGGTACCAAAAGAAAATCCCTTTCAGATAGTGAATCTGAGGACAGCAAATCAAAGAAAAAGAGGGATTCTGTAAGTTAATGAAAACATTAAACAGACATTCAGATCTGAATAGAGAAAAGGCAAGGGAGGACCATATATACCAGGAATAGTTATGTCTTAGCTCCTTGTTAAAGGCTCAGTTTTCATGGGTCATTCCTAACATATGTCACAGGCATAATGCACTACTTTACAGATTTAATCCTCTTTTACGTACACATATGCCAGATCCCTCTGTGTGCTCCCAGTTTCTTCTTCAGCAATCCTGTTTCTGAAGATACTTTATTACAATTAACTTACCGTCATTTCATTCCTGGGAAATTTCTTGGGAAAGGATTGAAACTAGGATACCTCAGTCCTAGAATGGAGAATGGTAATATTGAACTTCTCTGAAAGATGATAATAAGAAAAAGCTGGTCAACAGGATGCTTAAAACTTGGGGCAAGATTTGCAGCAGATTGCAAGTCATCTTTGAGAAATGTATGTGGTCCACAGGCTAGCTCTATTTTATACTGTTCTGAATGTATTGATAGATCATATGCTGTTTTTTTCCATAAATCAGAAAATAATAGAAGGATTTATAATTCTTTAAATATTTACTCCAACAGGTTGATAAACCCAGGGGATTTGCACGAGGTCTTGATCCTGAACGAATAATTGGAGCCACAGATAGCAGTGGAGAACTCATGTTCCTTATGAAATGGTGAGCATTAGACTAGAATGTTTGGTTTACAATGTGGCTTCAATTAAACTTAAGAAATATTATTTTTTCTGTTACTACAAACTAGCCAATAATATTTAAGGGATATTGTTAGGTTGGGTTTTCTTTTTTAGCATTGATGAATCACACCATACTATTTAAGAAATCAGAAAACGTATTATACCTTTATCACAGGTAAACAATCTGACTTGTAGTATCTGCCATAGTTATTAAAATTATTTTGTTCTTGTGTAAGGCATACAAGAACCTGGGATAACACAACAATAATCATCTAATTTCTTTCTACTTGTTTTTGGGAGCACATTACACTGACTGTAGTGATTAATCCTCATATCTTTAAAAATTGGTAACTATTCATAAATTACCATTTCAATCCTATTGATTTAGAATGTAGTCAAAGTTAGCTATCAGCCATCCTTATCAAAGACTAACAGATTTTGAATGATTGGAGTAAGAGTTCTTAAAACTTCTGTAATTCTTATATAAATAATATAAGAGCTGAGATTTCATCCAAGGAGATGCTTTGAAATATATAAAAATTGAAATTGAAGCAGCAACATCTTTTTTAGATTATAGCGTTGATACAAAAAAGACATGACTTTTTAATTATTCAAAGACATATTTCATAGGAGCTGTTGTACATTTCAAAGCATCTCTTTTGAAGCATGAAAACTCTTATACATTCAAATCTGCTTGCCTGAAATTTGAAATAGAAATGCACAGGGTTAAACTATATGCAGTACTCTCAAAGATGTTAGTAGTGATTAAGATTAACACTCCAGAGAAACAAGTGCAGAATTTAATTTCATGGCAATTGAGCCATGATTAGAGGGAGTTCTTACTAAAGAAATGAAATAGTATCATTCTGTTTTATAATACATGGTTTATATGTAATTATACATATGCTTAGTTTAAAATGAAGTGTTAATAAGACCACCAAAGTTTAGGGATAATAGTGGATTATAAATGTCATAAATGCTGCTAATAATGTCAAGGCTAAAGAGGAAGGATTATTGTATATCGCCCAGTCGCTTTTTGTGAGCAGCTTACAAATTTGTTAAATAAATAAATTGTAAAGACTAATAGTAGGACACAAACAGGGCTATTTGAGTCAAGGGTATCTTCAATTGACATTAGAAATAGTTTTTAATATATTAATTGGACATTCTTTCTTAAAACAGGAAAGACTCAGATGAAGCTGACCTGGTATTAGCTAAGGAAGCTAATGTGAAATGTCCTCAGATTGTAATTGCTTTTTATGAAGAACGATTAACTTGGCATTCTTGCCCAGAGGATGAAGCACAATAATTGTTTGGATTTTCTCCTTCCCTTCCCCCTTTTTCTTAATTATATGTATGATATTTCACTTAATACATGTGGAAAACGTATAAGTTCTATTGAGATAAGTTTGGTTACTTTAAAAGTAATATGTTTTGCATAAGGAAGAAAGCAAAAGTGCTATTCATTTTGTTTATTACAAGAAAACATTTGATACTGCTTTCTGCATCTTAAATCAAATGTTTTATAAAATTTGGTAGTTAATAGTGATCCTTAATGGCAACTTAAAGTGTTTTGTAGCTCTATACAACAAATGTGCATGATTTTTCCCCGCTGTATAGTCTGTAAACCATTATATTTAGTATTTGTGGCAAATTGGTTCAAAGGGGACCAGTGAAAATTTCGTTTTAATTTGAAGTGCATATTGTATTGTATTTTATTGTATATACTGCTAAACAGCTACCAATAAAATAGTTTCATATTCTTGTGCTTTCTTTACCAAATTGCAGGAAGCTAAGAGGTTTTGAAAGCTATTTTGGTATGAAAAATATCCACTAAAGGATAGAGACAGTTTTGCTTTTTTGCAAAACACAAAACAAAAAAATCCTGTTTTAACTAGGTAGTTAACATTTTCTTCCATAGATGTTGTTTCCCAGAATTAGCAAAATAAGAACATAAAAAATGTCTGTGGTGCATTGAATATTTAATTTTTTAAGATTAGTATGCAGACTTGGTTATCACATTTATAGTACTCAGAATATATGGTTGAGTAATCAAATTCTGACTTAATCCCTTAAACTGTATATCTGATGCTTTACAAGTTAATAATTTATTGATGTTTTAGGCTTGACTTCTTTAGGAACTATTATCCCAATCCCAATATACTTCCAAATAAAATTATTTTAATTGATTGCCTGATAGATTTATGTAGATAGCAAAATTGAGGCATGGAACTGCAGAAAAGAGGATTCTGTTGGAATATAGAGCATATATATATATCACATGGTCAATTGTTAAATTACAATTAGATCATCCAAATAGGGTTACTATATGTGTGAGTAATTTTTAAATACAAGTGCATGCAACTAGCATTATTCATTTGGCTTTGATTATATTCTGTTTGGGTGAGCAATAAGGAATCTTGTCATGTAAAATGTAATTGTCAGATTATTTGGTTTCTAATATAGTTCAGTGATTCCATGTACATACTGGATTAATAGAATGGATTATTAAAGTTCATAATAAGTTTTTATTTTAAAAAATCAACGTAATAATTACAATTCATCTCATTTCTGAGAATTACTGTAAAAATAAATATGATAACACACTGAAAAAAACTAGCGCTCTAAACTTAAAGTCAGTTCACTGCCTTTCAATAAACCTATTTCCTGATACCTGTTGAGGTTCCCTTCAATATATATATATATATATATATATATATTTTGCGTTTTTCTGATTTCTTCCATTTTGTTCAGTATTTGTATTTCTGCTTATGTTTTTGTCAGAAGTTTTATTAAAGGGTTTATTTATTTAGTAACCTCCATAACTCCTATATCCATATTCAACCTATCAATACTGTAAAATACATATTAAAAATACAAGTCAAAATAGTCAAGAAAATGGTAATAGAATACTTATCCACTCTGGACGAATTAAAATCAACAGGTCTAGATGGATTACATCCAAGGGTTCTGAAGGAGCTGGCAGACGTGATCTCAGAACCACTGAACACAATCTTTCAAAGATCCTGGAGCACCGAGAAATACCAGATGCCTAGAGAGAAGAGCTGACGTTCTCATCTTCAAAAAAGAAAAAAAAAGATCGAAAATATTGACCAATCAGCCTGACATCAAAGCCTGGGAAGATCCTGGAAAAGATAAGCAATGAATCTGAACACCTAAAGGCAAGCAAAGTTATAATCGGAAACCAACATGGGTTTGTCAAAAACAGATCATGCCAGACAAATCTTATTACAGTTTTTGACAAAGTGACTAAATTAATGGACCAGCAAAATGCTGTGGACATAATTTACTTGGACTTTAGTAAGGCATTTAATAAAGTAGACTACAACCTACTGCTTGGTAAGATAGAAAGATGTGGGTTAGACGGCATTGCCAACAGATGAATTCATACTAGTTGATCAACTGCACTCAACGTGTAGTCCTCAATGAAACTACATCTACGTGAAGGGAAGTATGCAATGAGGTACCTCAAGGTTCTGTCTTAGTCCTAGTATTCTTCAACATCTTCATAAATTATTTAGATGAGTTAGAACGGAAATTCATCAAATTTGCAAATGACATCCATCTTGTAGGAATAGCCAACAGTAGCCAACACTTTAAAAAATAGGCTCAAGATCAAAAAAGATCTTGACAGACATGGAACACTGGGACCTATCTCAAACATGAAATTCCATAGTGAGAAAAGTAAGGTTTTATATTTCAGAAAGAAAAAGTAAATGCCCAGATATAGAAAAAGTGGTAGCTGAATAGCAGTAACTCAGATATCTAGAATCTAAGTGGAGCAACACTTAAATATGAGCCAGCAGTGCGCTGCAGCCACAAAAAAAAGCCAATACAGTCCTGGGCTGCATTAATAACGGATAGATTCAAGATCACATGAAGTGCTAGTACTGCTTTATAATGCCTTGCTAAGATCACAGTTGGATCCAATATTGTATCCAATATGATACATGATACCAAAAAAAAAGATGTTAAAAGACTACAGAAAAGAGCAACTAACTAGGAATGAGGCTAAAATCTACAGTTGCATGAATTGGGCTAATGAAAAGGACTAGAAATGACATAATAGTCTTCCAATATTTAAAGGGCTGCCACAAAGAAGATAGGATCAACAATTCTCCAAAGCAACTGAAGGAGGGGCAAGAAGTAAAGAATGGAAATTAATTAAGAAATCCAACCTAGAAATATGGAAACGTTTCCTGACATTTAGGACAATCAGTGGAACTTGAGAAGTTGTGGATGCTCCATCACTGGAGATTTTTAGGAAGATATTAGACAACTATTTGTCTGACATGGACACACATTGCTCAATGTTGCAGGAAGGGATTTATAGAATCTCTTTAAACACACACACACACCATTTCAAAGAGAGATCTCTTCCTGTTAACACCATTGAGCAACAGGTCCTGGACAGCTCCCAAAGCTAATGCATGGTGTATATTATAGTCACCTAAAAGGCAATGGCACAAAATTTCACCATTTGGTCAGGATACTGCAAAATGCCATATATATATATGTATGTTTGAAGCTTATTGAAGCTTCAATAAAACTAGATTTAATGGACTGGTCATAGGTAGGTAACCACTAACCAGAACATAGCACAACTGCCACTCAAGTACCGAATTGGTTTTCTGTTATATTCCATATGCAATTCAAAATATTGCTTTTTCCTTTTAATGCACTATATGGCTTGATATTGAACATTTCTCACTCAACTTTTATCATTGTGATGAAAGTTTTAATTAAAAATTATTTTAAGAGGGAGCTTGAATTATATAATGTTATCTTCTGTTTTTATAGCTGTGATTGGTGGGTTTTAAAAACTTATGATTCCATTATTACTGTTACATAAAAATTAACCCCCTGAGAAAGTCTTAATTGTGATGGGTAAGAAAATTGAATAAAAATTTAATGAAGAATAGAAATTAGTAGTAGTAGAAATTTATAATGCCTTGAATGTTTATTGAATAAAGAAGTGAGTAATCGATATATAAGAAATATATGAAGATATTTTACCATGTAGAAAAAATGAATTAAGATCACAAAGTTAAATATATGAAGGAAGAATGAACTGTCAAGCAGAAGGGGAAGACCTAGAAAGTTGTAGGCTGATGAAATTCCAAAAAAAGCATAAAAGGTTTAAAGAACAAAAGACAATATATGAAAAAATGTATGGATGTGTGTAATTGAGGATGAGAAATATTTTAATGTGTTATCTCATGCTTTTAATTTCTTCACTTTAGTATAGATAGGTCGTGATTAGTGTGAATTTAAATAAATCAATATTCAGTTTACTGTGAATTGTTCATTGATACCAAGTTGTTTTTAAAGTGAAATAAAATTCAGGTTCAATATGAGTTTAGCGGGTTGGCAATGAAGATTAGCACATGTAAAGTTGCCATTGGGGTTTTACATGCTGCTAATTTTTGTGGATGCAAAATGGAAAAAATGAAGATTCCATCAGATGAAAGTAACAAGTTTAAAAAGGCTCTACATTAGAACCACAAAAACAAAAGGTGTTGAAGATCTGTAGTATATTTTTTTGGTTTTTATTTTACTTTATAACCTTTGTTAACATAAATTTAAAAGTACCTTATTTTTTGGAGTATAAAATGCTCTGTAATATAAGGCGCACATTAGTTTTAGGGGAGAAAAACAAGGAAAAAAAATTCTGCCTCTGCCTACCAGCATCCATCGGTATTCATCTAGCTAGAGTCCTTGCAGCAAACAGCCTGGTAAGATTCATCATGTGATTGCAGCCTGATTTAGCACAAACAACTAATTGGCAATTGGATCAGCCTCCTGGAATACCGCCAATCAGCTGTTCCAAGCTGTGGGGATCGCCAGAGCTCATTGCCACCTCCATGCGTCGCGTTTTTGGCCTTCGCATGCTCCATTTTAGACACATTCCAGGCTGCGAAGATTGCCACAGCACATTGTGTTTTTGGCCTCCCCATGCCCCGTTTTTGGCTTTTGATCACAGGACTGTGAATGTTGCAATGGTCATAAGTGAAAAACAGTCATAAATCATTTTTTTCAATATTGTAACTTTGAACATCACTAAATGAACTAACTTGAGGACTACTTGCATTGACAAACAAATAGGAAGAGACTAATCTACATTCCAATACCAAAAAAGAGACTTAAAATCTATGCAAGATATTGTTAGAAGAGAATCCTTTGGTTCTAACCAGACTGGGTCTTCCAAACAACACATAATCATAAATTACTTGAAGCAGAGGCTAGTTAGGCAAATGAAAGTGGCTACAAAATTATAGTTTATTAAGGAGAGATTCAATCTAGAATTAAGGAGAAATCTGTCAGTGAAAACAATTCAACAGAGGAACAACTTGCCTCCAGAAGTTGTCCACATTGGACTGGGATGGAAAAAAATAGTAAAATAAAGCTGAAAACTTTTTCCATTTCTGTCTGCTATTTTTACTTTGCCAGAGGCATGTGTAATAAAAAATAGGATCAGCCCAAATCTGCTTGATTCCTTTCCAACTCCAGAACAATTCTTTGCCAACTGTCAGGAAAGCCCTCTTAATCCCATCATAGCTAAAACAATGGGAAAGCACTCACCTGTCCAGTTAAAGTCATCTAAAGGGCAGCCTTAACAAGGAATTTCTGTTAATATGGTGAGAACCAGGCATTCTATTATCAAATGCCTCTCCTGATTATCTCAATGGTCCATCCTCTCTAACAATGGAATCCGCTGCACCATTGTCTATTGAAGAGGCACAGCTTTTATTTAAAAATAGAAAAATACTTTTTCTTTTGTTTAACCCCTATCTTGCATCCTAAGAACTTGTTCATGAATCAGATTACTCAGATTCCCTAATTCTCAACTCCAAAATGTATAAGAATCTCTCCCTTTCTATTGTTCATGGCCCTTCTTTTTTGTTAACAGCAGGCCATTAAAGATCAATAATCACTATACAAAGAAGTGGCAATTTCTACTTGGTCTTGTGCTTCTTACTTCAACAAATTCCATTTCAGGATAATTAAGAAAGGAAAAGATCCCCAAAAGTCAGTATTCATTATAAAGGGCCTTTGATTGTTTCAATATGCCAGGCTATGGAACATCCTTATACAAATGGGAACTCCAGAGTATCTCATTGTCCTCATGCAAAACCTACAGTTTATATTACAGGTCAGGAAACTACAGTTTGGATATAACATGATGAAACAGTCTGACTCCAACATATCAATGGAGTGAGATAAATATGCTCTCCCTTTATTTATTCAACCTATATGGTGAAATATATTAAGGGAATTGAGAAAAGATTAACATGGTTTTAAAATTAGAAGAAGAAACATAAATAACTTGTGCTATGCTGATTGCTCTACTCATAGCTGAAAATGCAAAATTCCTGCAAGCTTTAGCAATAAAAGTCAAGGAGCACAGTAAAAAAAATGAGACTAAATTTAAAGCAGACCAAACTAGTAACAAGTACAACAACCAATTAAGAAGAGGAATTTTGAAGCAGTAGATAACTAGGATCAGCCATCAATAATAAAGAAATAAGGAGTTAAGAAATAATTCTGCAGTCTACCATTTACTAGAATAGCCACAAAAACCTTGGAAAAGATATTCAGATGTCACAATATTACAACATGATGCATATAACTCCAAAGATCAGATAATAAAGGAAACTGCTTAGAAGTAACTCTACATGCCCTTTTTTAGTCTCACATATCAAACAAATCAACTTAAGAATTCTCATTGGAGGCACAAATGCCCAGGCTCAATTTATTATACTTAGGAGACATTATATGAAGATATAGTTGTTTGAAGAAATCTCTAATGTTGGGAACGCTAGAAAGAAAGAAAAGAGTAACAAGATATATGGACTGAATTGTTGTGTGTGCACTGTTGTAAAGACTGAAAGGAAGATCATTTTGGAGAAAATCCTGTCTATGTGGTTGCTATAAGCTGTCACTGACTACTCTCATTGACATAATCAATTAAGAACAATTCTTAGTTCTTTAGTGCTTTAATATGATGTAATTTATACAATATAATTGTATATATAACTGTATATATAATACAATATAATTTTAACTACTGGAGTAGTTAAATTAATTCATGATATATTAGAAAGCTATAATGTCTATGATGTCTTAATCCTTTGTTTACTTGCATGATATTTTTGTTCTTTTAATTTTCTCTTTTGTACTTAACTTATATATTTTGTTTCAAATAAAAGTGATCTTGTGTGTTTATCCGAATTCTTCATTCCATTTAAATGATTTATTCAATAAGAATTTCAGAGAAATTCTTGTCTGAAATATTTTGCTTTTGAAATTGTTTAGAGGCAAGTAATAATTATGAAAATTTTCTATCTTTCATTGTACAATCACTTGTCCAGGAGATTGCATCTTTCCTAGTTTCTAATGTTTCCATTAAATCCCAAGGAAAGATGACATGAAGAAACTTCCCTTGGACTTTTTCAACCTGGAAAATGTGCATAGCAACCTCAGGAGCAGTTTCCTTCAGCAAAATAAACCCTAATAATAAAGCAAGAAAAGTATGAAAGAAATGTTTGACATTGAGAATACAGTAGAAAAACAGTAGCCTCTTTTGCAAGAGAAGAAACCTTGAGAAATTACAAGGTGAATTTCAGCACAGCACAATCATCAACAGGCATTATATGTTAAAAGAGGACTTTGGAGAAAGCTAAGACCCATCCTGTTCTGAATTTCACCACTAGAACTGTGTTTTTTGAAAAGGGAAGCTTTTCCACTTCAAAAGGATTGTAATCGGGGTAAGGGAAGAGCCTGTCTGAAGGTTTCCACTATAGGCTGAAAGTTCCACACTCTTGTTATGCAATATTTTTCAAAGATAAGGAAATATGTCTTTATTATAGCCCTGCCCGAGCTACTCAATGTCATCGCCGCGGTGGCGGTTGATACCCCTAGGCTTATGGTCATGGGGGATTTCAACCTGCCGTCCGTGGGTGAGACGTGTGAGATGGCTCGGGAGTTCATGGCTTCCATGACAGCTATGGACCTGACCCAGTTAATTCATGGCCCTACCCACACAGGGGGAAACACGCTGGATCTGGTTTTTGTCTCTGGACAGTGGTTGAGGGATCTTGAGATAGGGGATATAGTTACCGAACCCTTGTCATGGTCAAATCACTCTTTCCTTTGTCTCGACTTTCGAACCGCTGCACCCTGCTGCAGGGAGGCAGAGCCGGTAAGATGGTTCCGCCCCAGGCGCCTGATGGAACCTGACAGATTCCAGATGGAGATTGGGCCATTTCCTGAGGTTCTGGCACACGCCTCGACTGGAGACCTGGTGGCCGCCTGGGATAGGGCGGCTGCTGGAGCTCTGGATCGGGTCATGCCTTTGCGGCTCTGACCCGGCGCCGATCTCAATTGGCTCCTTGGTTTACCGAGGAGCTGAGGGAGTTGAAGCACAGGAAAAGACGCCTAGAGAGTAGTTGGAGGGCCAGTCTTTCTGAATCTGACCGGACACTAGTAAGATCCCACATTAGGAATTACCTAGTGGCGATAAAAGCAGCGAAATGTAGCTATTTTGCTGCTCTTATTGCATCATCAGATAACCGCCCGGCTGCCCTCTTTAGGGTGACCCGCTCCCTGCTCCATCAGGAAGTGCAGGAGGTTCCCTTGGAGGGTAGAGCCGAGGATTTTGTTCAGTATCTGTATGACAAAATCACTCAGATTCGGGAAGATTTGGATTCTGACTGGGTAGTCTCAGGGGGAGAGACGGGCAGGTCTTGAGAATGTTATCTGGGATGAGTTTGATCCTGTGACCCCTGAGGACGTGGACAGGATTCTGGGTAGACTGAACGCGACCACTTGTTTATTGGACCCGTGTCCTTCCTGGTTAGTACTGGCTTCCCGGGAAGTGACACGAGGCTGGCTTCAGGGGATTATAAATGCTTCGTTGGGTGAGGGTGACTTTCCCGCCGTCTTGAAAGAGGCAGTGGTGAGGCCTCTCCTCAAGAAGCCTTCCCTGGACCCGGCAATGTTGGTAAATTATCGTCCGGTCTCCAACCTTTGCTTCGTGGCGAAGGTTGTTGAGAGTGTGGTCGTGCAACAGCTCCCCCAGCACCTGGATGAAACGACGTATCTAGATCCGTTCCAGTCGGACTTCAGGCCCGGGTACAGCACGGAAACGGCATTGGTCGCGTTGGTAGATGATCTCTGGAGGGCTCGGAACAGGGGATGCTCCTCTGTCCTGGTCCTGTTAGATCTCTCAGCGGCTTTTGATACCATCGACCATGGTATCATGCTGCACCGGCTGGAAGAGTTAGGGGTGGGA